AATACTAATAATAAAAAAAAACCTCAAACTGTATAGGTATAACTCTACATGTAGATAATAACCAATCATATTAAGCTGGTAGAAATTATTTAATTACAAATCAATTTTATTAGATTGCACAAAAAATAACTTTTGTTTAAATACTTACCGATAAATAATTAGGTACCTATGCAACTTCTTTGTTCATGAACTATGATGTGAACACTATTCAAAATAAAATCGTACAACTCACTCGTTCAAGTAGAAATTCATTTATGTTATTAATCTTATTAAAATAATTATGTCAAATAAAAATAATAATAGAGCATAACTGATACATTATTGTTAATTTGTTATGAACACGTCGTTTCGGGGAAAAATAAATATCAATACTAAAAATAAACTAACACCGTCGAATATTGAACGTTGAACGTATTAAATATTATGAATTAAATAATATGGTTAATTTTCAATAATATTACTTGAATGATGAAAAAGCTTTTGGCACCCCAGGGGTCTCGGCACCCGGTGCACACGCACCCCCTTAGGCACGGTCCCGATATATGTTATAACGATCTATAATCTTAATTTATATTATAAAACTTATAATTATATCTTAATACCTACTAAAGGGTCTTAAGGGCCACAAAAAACCATTTTAGGATCGTCTGAATAAATTGCATACGTATTAATATACCATAAAATATCATACTTAAGTTTTTATTTATCAATACATATTGACAGGGCAGAAATGGTTAGGGTCCAGCCCATTATACCAAATTTAATAGCGACTCTACTCTCTGATCATAGGTGTAATTAATTGGCAGCTATAGGGAGGCTTTGCCGTCAAAATATTTTTTTGCCTTCCAGAGAGGAGGGTCCTAAGGGCAAATTATAAACGAGAGTAATTTATAGTTTATTTGTTATAGAAACTGGAATCTTTTGAGGTTTTTTTATACTTGCTATTTAAGTTCGTTCTTTATACATTGTACTTTGTATCATTGTAGTTCTTTAGAGTATTGTTGAGTAGAAATTATTATTGTGTGTATAAAAGGAAAATTTTAATTCTGTTAATTTTTATTTTTATTCGAATAAAATTATCCATTGCATTTTAAAAGCATCTGTAATTGAAATTTTATATGGACATTATGACATAGGTAGTTAATACCATATACATAATACAATACCATAATACATACCATAATACAATGGTAATATCTTGGTACTATGGCTACCATAATTCTCTTAATATATGCTAAAATCTATAAAAAAATAAATAAAAAAAAATAAAAATAATTTAACTTATTCCAATATATATACTATTTTATGATATACAATTATTCATTGATTTTAATAAAAGCGATGAAAAATATTTATGATCTCTAAGACATTTTGTAAGTCAATCTCTTCTAAAAGTTGTTTTCTGCCGACATCATCATGAAACCCTTCTGATTTATTTGTGTACGTATATACTGTACAATATATTGTGTACGTACCAAAAAAGAAAAAACAAAAAATATCAAATGATAATAATGGCATATCATAATAGGTATAGTATGATCATATAATATATATAAAAAAATTTTATTATAAAATATTGAATAATAATTCAACAAATTATACAAATGTTACATAATATTATGAAGCTTTTGTTAGACATTGAATAATCAATCATTATTTTATTCTAAAGGAGCTTCGATTAATATCTATTAATTAATTAATTAATCTATTAATTAATTAATTAATCTATTAATTCATATAAGTCTACCAAAACTAAAATATCCATCACTGAATAACGGACGAACATTATTGGTTCTCACCTACTATCCAATATGGCACAATTCTTTAAATATTTACATATTACAAATTACATTATATATATATATATACTTATAGGAAGATATGCATAAATAATTTATGGCTTATACGTATAGGAAATATTCACGATATACTGAAAATGTTCGAAAGCTTATTAAATTTTTCTTTATCCATGTTAAATACCATTAATATACATGTTACGTGGCCAGTTTTATAAAGATGGCCTGTAAACCAAGCACCCAAGCGCGGATTTATAACTATAATTTGTGATAAATTTTTCAAAAATACAGTAAAATAATACACAATTAAAAACATTACAAGTAAATTATGAATTAAAATTATAACTTTATTAATTATTGTTGATTTTTAAAATTTAATCTTCTTTATTTTATTATATATTTTAATTTATAAATAAACACGAAAAACCTAATCTTATTGTTTTATTCACTGTATACTAATTGAGTCCCTATACCTGAACGGGGAAAAAATAATATACTAATTGAGTCCCGGGTACAAACGAGACATATACTAATTGAGTCCGTGGTTAGGAAACTAATTGTATACGAATTGAGTCCGAGGATTATTTTGAGTAAAATATGAAATAACCATCCAGAGTCCAGGCACAGCGAAAATTATGAATAATAATAAAAATAATAATAAATAATAATAAATAATAATAATAATAAAAATAATAATAATAATAATTAAAATTATGCTGCACAGCCGCTCCATACGGATATACCTATATATACATATCATTCATATCATTTTTATGACTTTCGTCAGATAATATAGTAACATATCATACTATAGGTCGGGAATTTTAGATTTTATTTCTATCATCGCTTGTATAATAATCACCGTCTACCGATATCATTTTTATCATCACATTCGTCAGATAACATAATATAATACATATTATTTAGGCCGGACATTTTTTTCATTATATTAAACACTCTAGTTTACGAGGTACGCCAAGAATCATGGATGAAGTTATATTAAGTGAGTAGAATTTTTTGTTACAGACAGTCCTAAGTCTGTAAAAATGGGAAGGAAAATGTTTTTTTTTTTTAATTTTACGGGACTCAGTTAGTATTAAAACATGGACTCAATTAGTATTATACCTATAATTTCACTGGACTCAATTGGTTTATACCCTAAAACAACCCGGGACTCAATTCGTCATAAAAGGTTATACTGGGACTCAGTTCGTAAGCAGCCGTTTTATTAGGGGGGTATAACTTCCCTGCAACCGTGCCTGAAAATAGCTATCTATATACTTACTACCTATATTCTACCTATACTATCTTCTATATACAGCTATATTTACAGTCGACGACAAATGTTGTTACGTAGAAAGTAATCTTGAATTCATGTGTCTCAATTAGCTTATTGTACGTTCTAATCTACTTAGATTTAAAGTTCTAATAAACACGAATTAATAACCTTGCGATGTTTACATATAATTTACTGGACATGTAGATAAATTATCATTTCAATCGTCGATTTTTATCAATGGATAAAAAATAAATATTAAGCAGTTTTCCAAATGCATTGATATACCGACACGAAATTATTCAGTATACATTTTACCTATTGATGGTGCTCTAAGAATTCTCTTTTTTCTTCCAAAACATTGTAAATAATAATATCCTTATAAATATTAAAAAAAAAAAAATAAGTATTGTATAACTTGATATGATCAAAAGAACTATATTCAGTTCCATCTTATATGCAAATGTAATGGTTCAATGATAATTAAGTCAATACAAATTATTTTGGACTGGTGTATTTATTATGGAAAATATAATGAAAATATTTGAGAAGGATTTGAAATTATGCAGGATCACTAATGTCTTAGGTTTGAAGTTATTTAAGTATCTTTGGGATCTAAGACTGTTTGGCGATAGAGGTTATCCTTCCTTCTTTGAAGTGTATAGTTTCACCAGGGATACAGAATAAACTTAAAGCAGCTATTGGCAATCAAAAACCTATCACTTTACTATGCAAATAACAAAAACCAAATTTGATTATGATGAACAAAAAATATGAGGTTCATAACAGGTTAACTTATATCATATAAGTAACATATAAAAATGTAACATATAAGTTATAAGTTTCATTTCAGAGAATGAACATATATGTGCATTATATTTACTCTAATTATACAAATATTGTATCAAATAAGACTAAATTGTTAGTACACTCACCAACAGATATTTTTTAACATCATAAATTAATATTAGATTTTATTAAAATAGTACCCTAAGCTAATATATTATTATATCACCTGTGTGCATCAAATTTTACTATATAAACAGAATACTATAACAGGTTACAAAATAATTATATTTGTTAACACATTAATTAATAGATACCTGATTACAACCATGGTTTAAAAAACCTAATTTTTCAAAAATCATATATTAATCATACTGCAATTATTTAGTGTAATAACAATATTTTACTAAACAATTGGTATTTGCTGATTGTTGATTTGTTTTTCATAAGCTAGTAGGTGTAAGCTTTGAATATTATTTTGAATTATTTTTCGAATACATTTATAATTTTAGTGTTGGGTATTTAATATTTCTACTGCCACCAAAAATATAAACTTTATTATAAAAGAATATAACTCAATATCACAATTTATATTACAGTTCAAATTATCTGTACAATATTATGATTAGCACAATTTAATAATTTATATCAGTTAGTTATTACTTACAATACACTAGCCTAGTTGAAGATACACTCTTTAACTATGCCTCTAATAACTATTTTAAATTCAAAAACAATAACTAGTTGTTATATACAAAAATAATAAAACCAATGACTTCAATTAGAGACTAGAGCACTAGACATACATTTATACAGATTATGCCACTTTAAAATTTAATTTAGAATAAAGTTGAAAAAATGCATATAGTATTAATTGCTTCGTAGATAATTAAGTTGATTTAAAATACAATTAATATAAATATTTCTATCAGCTTAACATATGAATTTATATTACATCGCAGACAACATTTCATAACAATAAATTAGTAACAAACTAAATTTTTTTAAACAATTAGAAAAATTAAAACAGAATACATAGTTTTTAGAATTAATCAGTTCTCATACATAATTCAATTTATACACTAAGTCTTACAAAATTTAACATACATAATAAAGTAGTTATGAGAAATAGAGTGCCAAAATTAAATTAGAAAAAATCTTAATATTATTTATATTAAAATCAATAATTAGTAATGTTATGGATTATAAATAGAAATGTTTAACCAATGGTAAAATGCAAATTTATTACTAATTGAAAATTGAATTAAAGCACTTAAACATATTCCAAGTCAGGTTTTACAAAAAGATTCAACTCTTTTTCAGTAAAATAATGAAAATCACAATAATTAAACCACACTTTCTCATTTAAATATCTAATATGAAAACAATGACACTGGATAAAATCTAAAAGATTTTGACACTTGCCACGATTATATGGGCTTTCATAACCTTTTCCATGAGGAATAAAATGTTCATATCGTGCAGCATTAATACGTTCGTTAGTAGTCATTCCAAGCCATATAATTTGATAGATTTGACATCCTAATAGCACTGATACCCACAGTGAATGTAAAATAGCATTTATCATGATCCAGCTAACCCATGAGTCTAATATAAGAACTTGCCAAATTACATTGAAAACATTATAATTATTTGTTTGTTCGTTGAATTGGTATGTCATACTTAAGAATCTTATACTACCATATATAATAAAACCACAGGCCATTAGTAAAGTTATAAGATAACCCACAAAGTGACGATGATTTGAAGCACCAATACAGTTGTTCACCCATGGACAATGATGATCAAACTTTGCCACACATCTATAAATAAAAATTAAATATAAATAATCTGTAAATAAAAACTGATTTGCTTAGCTTACCGGTTACAAATGCTACAGTGTTTTGATCTAATTGGCTTTTTAACCAAACATGTAGTGCAGAACACATCTGAACTGAATTCATAACTCTCAGCCAATTCAATGATAGCAGCATATTGATCGTTTTTAGTGTTTGGCACATAACCTGGATTACCCTTCCAGCTGTACATAAAATTGTACCACAATAGTGATGTGGTAACAAAGAATCCAACTGAACACCAGAAACTTACTACCGGTAGTATCCAAAATATCCAAGTAATGTACATCCAAAATTTTGTTGAAAAATAAACAGATACAGGTAGTGTTTTTGATACTGCTCTATATGTTCGGTTTAATTTATACATAATTAAATATCCAATTATCAAGCAACATAATTTTGCTATATATATCATATGAGAGTCCAATATAAATCCAATTACATAAAAAGTAACAGCAACAAATATGATGGATATTGTTTGTTCATTAAATTTTAGTAAAAAGTTCTTTGGTTTAATTTTGTTGTCCACAATTTCTAAAGTATTCAGGCCTATCCAAACTTCTGTTCTTGACTCGTTGATTAAATTTAAAGCTGTACATCCTATAGAATTTCTTATGGTCAATGGTGAACCTTTCATGACTAGAATACTGATAGCGGTTGGATTCCGACTTATCAAGGCCCAATGCAATGGGGTATTTCTATGGACATCATCTTGTATAGACATAGAAGCACCTAAAGTTATTAAAAGTTTTGTTGGGTCCAGCCCTAATGATTTGAATGAACTCCACATGAGTGCCGTCATTCCATTTTTATCTCTTAAGTCGACATCTACACCTCTAGCAATCAAATATGCTGCGATTGCTGTAAAGCCAAAGTGTGCAGCAATATGTAAGCAGGTGCGACCTTCGATATCATAAAAACATGGATCAGCACCTTTATTCATTAACAAAACTACTGCAGATAAATGGCCTTGCCTAGTGGCCCAATGTAATGGGGTTGCTCGTAAATCTCCACCTACAGCATCTACAATCGCGCCTTTAGAAATATAATACTTAATTAAATCTAACTTATTGTTGATAGCAGCCCAATGTAAGAGATAGATATTTTGAGGATCTGGAGTGTTGACATCGTAACCACTTTCTATGATTTCTATGCACCTGTTTAGTAGTCCATGCTGAGTGGCTTTGACAATGTCGAAGTTTTTCGCTTCTTCATCTGATATGTTAGGTTTTCTTGTATTGGGAGGTTTTTTGGTGAATAAAGGTACAGTATCCACAGTGGTTTTGGCCGAAGATATGGCACCACAACCGTCTTGAATGAGACTGAAGTGACCACATGACGAATGCATTGTGTCGTTCTGTAAAATGTTTACAGTAAAATACCACGTTAATAGTTTTTTTTAATTTTTTTAGCAATCACTCACACTAGGTTTAATAAGTATCGGTATGTTATTAGCAATGAATGCTTACTCACCAAGTGAATTTATGTTTCATACATATTATCGTGTTGTAACTGTTGTTAGTGCTCGAAATATCGGGCGCTACCCCCGCTCGACAACGATAGTTTTTATCCGCTCGTTGGTTCACGCATTTGCCGCAACGGTCGCGTTTCACCCGCAATAACCATGCAATAACAATAATAATAATATGTTTAAGGCGTTATACGCGGACGGGATAAATATTAAGATGCGACGAACGACCGAGATACTAGACCCGACTGATCCCATTTTTTGAACGGAACACGAGCTGCGAAACTGATAATTATGTTGTGCTGATAAGGCAGATCGCGATGCGTCGGAACCGTGGTTACCGTCGAGAGGGCGCGCGTAATATTGATCGTTACGTAGCCCTGACCCAATTTCGGAAGCGCGGCATTTTCGTCTCCGCTATGCAACACTCAACCCCAATCGCTTGACAAACGTAATCATATTCACACATGGGCACCGATCACATGTATAGTACTATGCACTGTTTTTGTTGTAATAGTAGTAGTAATAGTAGTAGTAGTACGTGCCGCATACTAGTGAGTAACGGGTAGTACTTGTAGTAGCGGTAAAACATTTAAAGTAATACACTGGTACAGGGTTGGCAAATCCATGGCACACAAAAAGTTTATCCAAATCATAAGAATAGGCATTGGCTGTTTTAATAATTTTTTTTAAACCTACTCACGCGAGTTATTTATTTTAAAAATTAATTTTATTGAATCCGAATTAAGAAACCTTGCGCACGAAGAGTGTGGAATGTGCCCAGGTCACCCCCCCCCCCCTCAATATGATGTAAATGGCTCCCTATAATTTAAGTCTTAAAGTAAGAGGCCCGTATTTTAACTGATGTTACTCACATTTAATATCATTTATTCTAAAATATTTGGTAAAAACACCTTTGTTTTGTAATAGAAAAAATAAAACTGAATTTTCTAAATTTTTGTGTATAAACTTATTATGATAATGTAACATCTACAGTTGACTAAAAAAATACAAACTATAAATAATTGAAACTATCTGAGAAAAATATACGAGATTCCAGGAAAACATATTCATTGGAACTAATATTAAATAATATTTATAATTTATTTATTTGACTACAATATTAAATTATTAATTAATATTTATTAAATATACCTACACGTTTTGTTGAGATAGGGACCAAAAGTATTGTAGGCACTCCCTGAAATACAGGTCTGTGCACGCCTATGAAATCGACCAACGCATGAATGGAAACAATGCACTGTACACATTGAAAGTTACAAATAAGAAATCGAATATAAACTGATTGATATCAAGTGTACATCGACAAAAATTACATCAAGCAAATTAATTAATATTTAAGTTATGTTATTTTCATAAGTTAAGTTTCCATTTTATATACTAAATAAATATAATAAATACATTTAAATTAATAAATACTTGTATAATATTTCTCGTAATTTAATGACACGCATGAAAACTTAAAATAAAACACGTAATTCTAGCACAGTACGTAGGAAAACTTGGCGCTCCCGCATCAGTAAAATAGTAACAGTATTACAATGGTTAATAAAAACTATAGTTAAAAAAGTATATAGATCTCCTGCTATCTGTTTGTACATCGATAAACAATAGCTACAGTTTTCGAAATATCAATGTTGTGAACATGATTAAAGACAAATCAGGATTCGTAAATCTGCACGTTTAATCTCGATACACGGATAACGGATTAATGTAGGTACTGATAAGTAATAAACCACTCGATAAATTGTTTGGTAACTATTTAAGTTAGTCGGAATTTTTTTCTCATATAGTATATCTTCAATTTCTTCCGACTATACATAGCACCTATGGAAAAGCAGTATTATTGCAAAGATTGGTATTTTATTACAATGTATGAGATGAACAGAGACTACTACAGATACATAGTGTTTAGTACTTATTTAATTTTAAAATATGAACCATGCAAAAGTAAAACTTTATAAGATTGAACATTATAAGTATCTAAATTATTTTGAATTCTGAAGAATTATCCATCGGTTTTTCGTAAACGTTACGTATGGATTATCACAATACAATTTGTTTTTTTATTTATGGTCCAAACCTTGAAATACAAAAATCAGTAACGGCTCGTAGTAAATATTCTGGGGAGACTTAAATTATTTAACCTAAACTCCATACAACAACGAACAAGAAACTCTTTTATTGGAAAATTAATTATACTTAATACTTAATTTAATATTTAGTTAATCTTTTTAACTTAATTTAATACTAAATTTTCTTATCAATTAATTCAATTCTGCGATCTTTTTTTACCTGCGAACCAGTAGTGTAGCCAAAAATCTCTCAAGGGAAGGTCCCACCAAAAATAACACCTTTTACACACATCCGATCCGGGTCCGTTCCGAGTCCTATCCACCAGGGCATCCGTATACTCGGAAATATAAACTTGTTGTTTTCCATTGCATATGTTCACACATGTCCGATCCGAATCCGATCTAACTTTTCCGATCTCTATCCTACGAAAAAAATATTGTCAATGACCGATTGTCGTTCGAGCTTGGTCGGTTTTTGACGAAATAATTCCAGATCGGCATGTATCAACACGTGTCGATTGGTGTGTTCAGCATATTACGAAATAACCTACGTTTTTTGTCAATATTAATTTTATCATACGACACTGCCAAGTACATTTTATCATAGACAATGAAAAATTAATTAAACTAATAAGAAGTCCTATTGAATTGTGCGACTTGAATAATTCTAAGTATAGTTATAGTACTCGGAAAGAAAAACTATTGAAAGGAATTGGAAAATAATTGAATCAAACGGGTAAAAAAATATGTTTTAATTATGTTATTTTATATTTTACTTGAAATAACATGATCATGATTATATGAATTGAATGTATATATATGCTAATTATATTATTAATACTATTATAACTATAAAGCAACTATTAAGTAAAAATGCTATTACAATTAATTCTTCGTCGCTAAATTCAGTTATGATAAAAATTAGAATGCAAAACGACTAGATCAAAATTTGTTTCATTCGAAAACAACATATGAACTGTTTAAAAATAGGTAAAATAATGAACTCGGCTCGGATATAAGTGAAAGGACCTTCATACATTCAAATCAACTGGAATATATAATTATTAAATTATCGAGAAATAGTATTATATATATATATATATATATATAGATAATATAAATGTTCTTCTGGACTATGAAAACTAACATTATCATGTTTGGTTTATCTATAACAAATATAAGATATTTTAATATCAATATTTACAATAGAAGCTAATTTAGAAACATTTTTCATTAATTTTTTGAAAGAGTTATCGGCGTCTTTTGAAATATTTTGTGAGGCATTTTTTTACTTGTATTACGTTAGCCAAAACATTACATACGTATTGTTGCTTATTTTGTAAAATTTTGCTCAGATAGAAAGTATAAGAAAAAGGAACTTTTCGATATTTACAACTCGTTATCGCAAGACAATGTGTTTGTTATTTTTATTTTCGTTTGCAAATAACAAAATCATTATTTTGTCTTACATTATATGATATAATACGAGTAGATATTATTGTAATCAAATGTATTACACGGATAAAGAAGGGCCGAGCTCCTCAGGCCTTCCCTAAATACACCACTGTTGCGAACTTGCAAATAAACGCAGATGACGGCGTACAGCGACTAACGACATATTAGTTATGACTGCGCGGAGACAGGAAAATTAGGTTACAACTCGTTTATGCACATTTACCTTTTTTACAACCCGTTTGCGCAAAAATGCACAACTCAATTGCGCACACATATTTTGGCTACCTGTGACGAAAATCCCTAGTGCTAGAACTCGTTTGCTTATTATCATTGATTATCTTACTCCTCATTTATTAACAATAACACACGCAGGACGTTTTTTATTAGTGCATCTAAAATTTGAACATTCACTCATTAAAACACGGTATTCATTAAGTTTATAATTATCAGTATTAAAACATCGTTTTCCTCACCGAGATTCTAAAGTATTAGAAATTTCTACGCCATGTTAAAGTGTACGTCGTCAACACACAAGTCACCACTGTACCATCCATATTCATAGGCCATACATACTACCATACCTACTTACTAAAAGTTGTTTGGCAAATTCAAATTAATATAACCTACAGTCTACACCAGGGGTCGGCAATAGGCGGCCCGCAGGCTATGTCCGGCCCGGGGAAGGGAAATGACTGGACCGCCAAAAATATTTTTCTAGTTCTCCACTCGTTATAGAAATATGGAGTATAGATAGATAGAATATATAATATAAAGACGACATTTTTATATATTTTGAAATTACAATAGCGTTCATCGTTTTTAATTTGTCATAAAATGTGTTTTCATTACAAAAATAATAACATTCGTTTTTCTTGGCCCTCAACATTTTTTTTTAAAAACTATCTGGACCGCCATAGAAATTAATTGCTGACCCCTGGTCTACACAGTCGATTATAAGATAATATTAAGGTAATATATTTGATAATTTGTACTGCATTTTGTGACGATATATGTAAACACGTGTCATGTATTGAATGTGTCGTGCGTAAACGAGTTACCTATTTTCAGGTAAACGACTGATTTCGTAGTGCGCAAACGAGTCGTCGATTTTCAGGTAAAAAATGTTGAATGTGCATAAACGAGTTGCAACGGGGAAATTATTGTCCTAAACCCAGTTTCAATAACGTCTATAATACGTGGCTTATTCTCCTCGGCCACCTCCGTCTAACAAGCCAAACCATTACATGTTACGATTGTACCTGTCAGGTGTCAGTTTCACCGAAACGACAACCATCGAAGAATGATCAAAATATTATTTCTATCGAAATAACTATTTATAGGTTTTAGATTTACATTATATAATTAATTCCGTTGTAGTGTACTTAATAATATACTGCAAACTGCAGTACATGTATATAAAATATAGATATAATAATAATAATAAAAAATAAATAAATATTGTTTACCTGTGGAATGTATACCTCACAAAATATTTTTTTTAAAAAGTGATAGATATGAAAAACTAAAACTATATTAATTTAATTCAAACAAAATTTTGTGCTGACGTAACCATCAGTTAACTTCAAACAAAACACTTGTTAAATAGGTTAAGTTATTGAAAGGTACCCTTTATCTACCTGTTTCTTTTTTTATTTTATTTTTTTCACTTTCACATAATATGAACGTAAAATTAAAAATTAAAAAAAAAATAGCACATTGTTAATATTTTACTTTATATATTTTACTCTACTACTATGACTCATAATTCAAATGTAAATAAATCGTTCTAATTGTTTAAATAAAAGCGATGTTGGCAATAATGCTTTATTTTCAAATGTATAATTTTAATTTAACTATACAAGTATATTTTAAGTTACATTGTTAATTATAACTTATAGGTATTCAGATTTCAGATTTTTGCAACAAAATAAAAAATACCAGAAATTTTTCTACTATTTTTTTTAATCGTAAGTTAAATCATAACTAACTGTTTACAATAACATTGCTAACAAGCAGCTAAAAATGCTTTATTGCATTATTTTTATTAAACTCGTCTGAAAAAAAATTAAAGTGCCTAACGATTTAATTTGTTAATTTATACGATTACCTAAAAAATCTCTGCTTTATTTTAACAAATACAATATTTAGTATTAAACTTTAACTTAAATGAACACGGGTCACATTTTTAAAAAACAACTTTTAAGTATAGTCATCATATACATAAATACGTTAAATAAAACACAAATTCAATTGCAATTTCAATTGCTCTATCTTTAATACAATAAAATGTTTATGAATAATAATGCAAATACACGTACTCATCTTGAACGATGAGACGCAGTAACATTTAAAGTGGGGGGGGAGATAATTTAACGATACAACAAAATGCAGTATTCATGTTATAAGAGTATACGTATATTAGTATACATCTCTCTAATATCGCACTTCCCGTACCATTTTTTAACGGCAATATATGTATAATCGATTATTATTTACAATAAAATAAAAGTTGAACATCAAAAACGCATATTCACATGTGTAGTAAAACGTCCTATTGATCGCACCCGTACCTTATACCTAACCATCCCTAACCCTCTTTGAAAAGCACACATGCACATACGCATTAGATTGAACCAGTGAGGTAAGCCAATATGCTGTGTTCCGGCCAATTCTTATGAACCAATTATTACAAAAGTTTCTTGGTGGAAAAATGGCAAAGTTTCATGCCAGTCTGCCAACTTTGCGTACGGCCGCAGTATTACAATTTCGTATACACATACATATTATAAATTTATTCGTACAGCCGGTATTTGATAAAATACAAACAGGGTACTTGGTCAAGTGAAATTTAAGTATAAAATATTATCAGTGCTCGACTTGGCAAAATTAAACTCTATTTACTTTTAAAAAAAAGAGCGCCCCCAAAAATTGTTAAGCGTTATAATTATAACATAGTAATAGTAGAGGGACGCTAAAATTTCTAAAAATTAGTTGGGGTACTAACCATCCCCCTGCGTCAATATGACGCGCACATACGTAACGGAAAAATATATAAGGTGCACGTCGCGACTCTTCGGTTTTAATTGATGGACCGTGCAGCTTTTGAATGAAGTTCGCTCTCCCCATTCTTCAGCGCACACGCACGTATTGTACCGGTCTCGTTTTCCGTTGACCCATATTTCCCGTGCGCTGTGCAGAGTATACCATGTACTACGCGCAATCCTCGTACTACATACTACTATACTATCGTATACTATAAACGCTCAACCCGCACCCTACTACCCCCTTAAGTGTACTCGTGTGTACGGTATACACAGGCATATTACATTAGATTCGCATATTATACGCATGGGTCCAAGTACTTTATGCAGACATCGCCGCCAACATTAAAGCGAAATCGCGTATTACATAATCCCTAGTAGATCCACCGGGGGAGGGAGGTTTAAGACCTTCCAAAATCAGGAAACATATATATTAAAAATCAATTATTTTATAAATTTAAAAAATAATAATTTGTATTTCTATTCATACAAGAAAATAGTAGTCTTAGATTTAAATTAATGTATTATATTGCTTACTATTATCTCAATTCATTATCAATCATTGACTGCAATGTTATAAAAATATCCCAAGGGAAAACATTTTTCAACCCCCTCCTCCTTAAAAGAAAATTCTGGATCCGTCACTGTAAAATATTCAAATATATATATATGTGTGCGTGTGTGTGTGTCTGTGTCTGTGTTCGTCCGAGAATCGTATTGAACGAGAATGCTTATATATATGCGTGTACAACAGAGTCGATGTATACATAATACGTGTGCACACTGTATACGTAGGATAAACGCGCGGAATAATAATAATATATTGTACGTATACGATAAATACCGTGCAAGTATCGTATCCGTGTACGCAAGCGTAGACCCCAAATAAAACGGAGCACTTTCAGATGGGCGTCCTGGAAAAATCATTTTTCCACGGCGCGTACACGTTCCCCGGCGACAGGGCGATGGCCAAACGTTTTACATTTTATCCGAGTTCGGAATTAATTCGCCGTTAAAAACAAAAACGAATTTAATAATATAATAAATATTATATTTAACTAACCTCTCCGTAATACACTCGAATACGATTGAATAAAATATCACAAATGTGTGACAGGGACTCGAGTTCAGGATGCTTCTTCATATCAAGAAAGGTTAGTGATACTAATCGTTTTCATATACAAACTTCATCGTGCCACAAACAAATGCCGATTTTGTTATTTTTATAATAGTGATAATGTCTAAAGAACCCACAATATTGACGAATAAAAATCATAAGAAATCATTATAAGAGTTTACATATTTGTACGGTATTTTATACCACAAGTGTATAATCAAACAAAATAAAATGGGGTCAAATAATACTGCCTTCTAATCCACCCCAGTATAGTACCTTTAATTATTAATTGATTTCATTGAATTTAAATACATACTAATCGATTATTTTCGTTTACCCAAAAATTATTAATTTATAACAACTTGATACGAATGAGCGGAAATCAATAATCATAGTTTTGCACTAATGTCTATAAAAATAATTTTTAAATACCTATACGAATACTGTAATCAATTATTACTTGTTTAGGGTCGTGATCGAACTCAAGACTTGTCGACAACATCTAGACATGGACAACAGCCATTACCAACTGGAACAAAAACTAAAGATGCACTGCCAGTTGTGTTACAAAGCGATTTTAGAAAAGTAATTTTGTTTATATAACAAACATGTACTTATATAGAACTATTCTAATATATTTTACTTATAGTTGAGTGGAATCAGTAAAGAAGATTTCCGATTGATAGATACCATTGAAAACGATTATGATGCAACTACAGCAGCAGCACTCGACGCTGTTCAACGTAGAGGTGAAATGGTTGTCCGAATATTGGACCCAAGAATTCATCTCACTAAAACTGCTACTGATGCGGCTAAAAAATTTCTCATGCTTCAAGTGAGTAAATATTTCGATTATTAAATCAACAACTCCTTGATATATATGCACTTTACATGGTCTTAATTGGATTTCAGGATTCCAATCATATAGTAAATCTTGTTGAGATAATAAAGAGACCTGGACAAACCTTAGGATTGTATATTCGAGAAGGGAACGGTATTAATCGCCATGATGGCCTATTTATTTCTAGACTAGCTCTCGAGTCGGCAGTATATAACAGTGGATGTATACAGGTATATATAATAACTAGAAAAATTATATATACACATTATACCGTGGCACGTGTATATAATTTTATCATTTAGGTTGGCGACGAAGTGTTGGCAGTTAACTTAGTGGACGTTACTCGTAAAGCTGTAGACGAGGTTGTGATCATTATGTCAATACCCAGAAGACTTGTGTTAGCTTTGAGGCAAACAAGAGGAATTCATCGAAATACTGCCAATGCATCGTTAGCTTCTGCAATGCCTAGTCATCAACCTCCGGTCGTAGTAATCAAAAAGGATATCAGTAGAGAATCAGATGATCAACACGATGACGATGATGATGACTTGCATATGAAATCATATATGACTACGGGGTATGTAAATTAAATAATCATTGTATAATGCAATAAATATTTAAATAACTTAAATTATAAATGTTGAATAAAAATCAATTTTAAAAACAACCAATTAAAATGCTTAATACGTATTTATCCAAAATAAAATCATATAATTTAGTAGATTTATTTAAAATAATTAACTTAAATCTATATTTATATTAATTTTTTCATCGACTCTTATAAGATTATTCATATTAAGTGGTTAATTGTATACAGTGTATTATTTTATGGTTTTTAAATTTATTAGGCGAGTAAATCAAAGAAATAAAGAAAATATACATGAACAACGTCAAAGAGAATCTAGAGGGCGATCACAATCTCAACTTGCATTAGATTCAAATGGTGATGTTTCAGGAGATTTATTTTACAACTCAAGACCACCTGAATCTAGAAGACAAGCGTCTACTGTGTGTTTATATTTTATCTGAAATTAAATAATTAACTACATTTTTAAACCACTTAATTTTAACTGTTATATTTTGTATAGTTGGATCGACGTAATAATTGGTCATATCAACCTCCTCACCCCCCAGTTTCCAATGAATCATCAAAACCACAACACTTTCAACCATTCGACAAAGCATATCCTAAAACTTTAGAATCGTTGGCCGAAAAAGTACATCCATTTTGTCCGGGTGGTCAGTCTTCATCCGGCAGAAGAATGTCGGCGACAACTACACAACAACAATATCGTCGTAATAATATCCCTAGATCTGGTTCGGACCAATATCTACCTAGATCTGAATATGATTATGGAAGCAGTGAGTTTTTTAAAACGGTTGATCATACTCAGCTCATGCAAATTATATTAAAGCTAAGTTCACATGGAAAGCGTTAAACGCGCGTTTTTAGTCAGTGTTCACATGAATTACAGATTTTGCGCGTTAAGCGCGCGTTTAAATTATAGTAATAACTATAAATAGTAACTATAGTCAGTCGTATTTTAAATTATTTTTATTATTTTATTTAAGTAATCACGACTGGTCATATCCCCTAATCGAGGGCCTTTTTTCGATTTCATCGATGAAAAAATCATTATTGAATTCTTCCATTGTTGACGAAAAAAGGACGTAACGCCTTGATATACACGTTCCAACTGAACACATCAATACAAACCTGTACAATGTTCATACGCGCGTTAACTTGCGCTGACGCGGGTTGACAGGTTTTTTACGTTATCGCGCGTTGCCATCCAACGAGCGTTATCACGTGTACAGTTAATAGCAATTAATAGTAATTGTAAACTCGCGTTTAATGCTCTCCATGTGAACCTACCCTAATAAACCACTTCGTTTTAGGACCCTATCGACAATCGCAAACACTGATGAGATCTGGTCTTAGAAGTAGCACTGGTGCTGGATCCAGTACACGCTTAGTTTCACAATACTCTCAAGGTTCTTCTAGAACCTTACCAAGACATTTAGATTACGCATCAGATACGGAAGCAACGAAAGTAACTTCTACTTCCCCTTACTACTATAGAGGGTCTTCACAGATATCAGGTTTAAAATAAATATATAATAAATATTAATAAATAGATAGTCTTAAGCCATTTTTATATCTACAGGAGTTTCAAATTTATCACGATTAGGAAGTGCTACGATATCTAGGAGTAACTCTTTAAGGTCTAATTCACTGCCAAGAGACATACGTACACCACGAACCCCACTTTCTTCTCTTAATACAAGGTATACAAATATTATGAATTATTATGTTGAAAATAACGTAAAAAATAAATTGGGCAATAAATAGTAGATTTTTTTTTTTAACGATGAATTATATATTTTCTTAATAGCTTGAGAGGTAGTTTAAGGCGGTATAACACACAAGATAATCCGAAGACATCGTCTTCGGTATTAAGTGATCACGAAGACAGTGATGGTAATCTTAGTGCTCCTGAATTTCAAATGCGTCGCAAAAATCGATTAGTCAGCTCCCCGAGTGTATTTACAGCTGATGAATATAGAGCATGGATGAGCAGAGCACCGTCCACAAGTGCTATATATGATCGTATACGTAACGTTTGTGATCCATCACTAAAACAACAAAAAGTACAAAGATTCACATTTAGCGCTGAAAACTTACCAGAAAGAACTAGACATTCAGAGTTGATGAGCTATTCAGGTACTAATGCAGATCTAAGACCATTTAGAGGTCTTGGATCGCCAGCATTACCATCAGCTACTACATCAACATTAGACAGACATACCAGAACATCTTCTTTAAGAAGAATTCGACATCTATTAGAACTCGAAGCAAAACATTTAGGTCGGCGCAGTCCGTCGACAACTTCAGACTTACAAGCCGATAGAGCTAGAGTATTGGAAATTAATCCAGCTGGTAAATAATAATTTGTGAAATTATATTTGTTGTAATGACATTTTATACTATTATTTTATTTATTTAGAGTTTTTAAAATACAAATTTGAAAAGTCTACCGTTGACAATGCTCCACCTATTAGTGGCTTATTATGGGTGCATCTATTAGCTGGTAGAGGCCTCAGAGCAGCTTCCACCACTGTTTTATCTGGCCAGTCGACAAATGGTTAGTACAATAATTTTAAACAGCACAAAAAATAAAATAATAACAAATAAAAATAAAAATACTTTAATAATTTCAGTTATGGCACCAGCTGGAAGCTCAAGAGACTTATACTGCGTCTTAGAATGTGATCGTGTACACAAAGCTAGAACTGTAGTGCGTACTGGAGATCTTGTTTTTGACTGGGATGAAACATTCGAATTGGACTTACTGTCAAATAAAGAATTAGACTTTTTAATATACTCATGGGACCAACAATACAGACACAAGCTCTGTTACAAAGGATCTGTACATTTGGCGTCTTTAGTTAGAGATAGTCCTGTACATCAATTAGCATTAAAAATTGAACCTCGAGGAACATTATATTTACGGTTAAGACACACCGATCCTTATCAAACTTTCATAAGAAAAACTATAAGAACTTCAACCACTCTACCACCAAGAACCAAAACTGCAGGCCTTTTTGGTATGTAAAATACATTTTACACATTTTACATATGTCGACTATAGAAATTATTTTTTAATGAATTTTGAATTGCGTTTTAAAATAAAGGTATTGATCTCGAGTCGGTGGTTACTCGGGAAAGCGGCACAATCTCTAGTTCCTTATCTTCATTAGCACAAGCACCAGCAACAGCGTCTGTACCAGTAATTGTTCGAAGGTGTATTGAAGAAGTTGAACGAAGGGGCTTAGACATTATTGGCCTTTATCGGCTGTGTGGATCTGCTTCTAAAAAACGGATTCTTCGAGAAGCTTTTGAACGCAATCCAAGAACGGTGGATTTATCGCCAGATAATGTTCCTGATATTAACGTAATCACAGGTAATTACAGCAACAATTAAATTTTATAAACATAATTTCTCAAATACTTTTTAATTTTAGGTGTTCTAAAAGACTATTTAAGAGAACTTCCAGAACCACTTTTCACACGCTGTTTGTACCAAATGCTTCTCGATGCTTTAACTGTATTATTGCCTGATGATCCACAGGCAAATGCCAAGTTAATGTTATCGATTTTAGATTGTTTGCCAAAGTTGAATAGAGTATGACATACTTATTTTAATGTAAAAAAAAAAACCATATATAATTACTTAACTTGTTTTCGTTTGTATAGGCAACTTTGACATATATCATGGATCATCTAGCATTAGTTGTGTCACAATCTCCTCGAAATAAGATGTCGGCACAAAATTTATCCATATGCCTAGCTCCAGTGTTAATGGTACAAAGTGAAATGAAAGAAAAACCGATTGATTTCCAACAGCCCGTGAACGTATTACGGTATCTGTTAGAGATTTGGCCGACGAAATCAGGTTAGGACAAGTTTCTTTGAGGGTATTTTTTTCCCCATTAAAAATACCGACATTTCATGCTCGATTACCAAATAATAAAACAAAAATAACTTCACTAATCATAACCACCAACTATTTCGGAGTGTACAAATCTTTAAAGATCGCGGTCCATCCACCATTAAATAATATTTGTTTACGTAAGAAACTATTTTTGCTATTTCACCGGATTAGACTTGATTAGAAATTTTCAAATGTTGTCACACACACTTGCTTTTTTTGTGCTATAAAAATTACGTGAGTAGTATACACACAATTTTATTCTCTGCCATACACGTTTGACCGACGAGTTAATCATTACCGGCGCTGATTGAAAAATTGTAACAACAATAACGTATAGGCATAAAAATTATTTTTTAATAATACTGTGTATGCGGTCCTCGGATGACAACGGTTCGCGCATTGTGTACATTGATGAGCCCCGACCATATTTTCCAGACAGTTCGGGAGTGTTTGCCGCCCTCGGTCGCCAACGGCGTTACTCGGCCCCCGCCGCTGCCCGCGAAGCCATCCTGCGTGCCCGGTGTGCCAACAAGGCGCGGCCCCCCGCCCGTCATAGTGGCGTCACCGACCAGTGACACGGCCACATCAGACGAGAACGACGGCGACAATGATACGTCGGCCATCGAACCGCCGCAGATACCGGCCAGATCTAACGCGCACCGGCTGACCAAGGTGGCGGCGCCGGATCCGCCGGAGGACAACGCGGCAGAGACGCCGAGCTCATCCACGGGCACGGAAGACTCGCAGCGTGACGTGGCTGAGCGCGCCGCGGAAGCGGATGAGGAGAGCTGCGGCGAGGAGCAACTACAAAACGAACGGAGACCTCGGGGACTAATGCAACAGCAGAACGCCTCCGCTACGATGAAGCACAACACCGTCAACGGCACTACTATTAACACTAATACTTCTGCTACTCCTAATCAGAATATAATTAATAGTAATCGCAATAATAATAATAATAACGTTTAACCGATTAAATCGCGAAGGCGGTGCCCTCATATATGTATATAGTAATGTTATATATATATATATACGTATTAGAAAATAATGTGTTTGCCAACTTTCTACCAGGTTTCGTACTTAGCTGTGAACTGTCATGTGGGGAATGATCCCGAAATTTTAGGGGAGCTAAGGTGGAAATATTGACTGTTGTTATTTATTTTCATATTGAGCGAAAAGTTTTTGTCTTCTTTTCTCGTGGTCATATTTTCAAGTAGTAACTCTGCAATAAAAGAACTCGTAGTTTCGTCTGGTGTTATTCCTTTTTTAGATTGAAAATTATAGACGCGTTAGGTATAACAATTTTATACAGATGTTATCATTTGATTTCTTACTAGTTGTAGACGCGTAAAAAATGAGTCTTGAAAGAAAAAAAAAATTGTTGTAATTATACAAGGCGTTAGTTACGTTTTGAATATTTATATAGATCATTTATTTTCATTGTAACCACTGAGTATACTAAATGATGCGGCCATTCTAAAATGTAGGAGAACAATTTAAATTATGGTGTCATTTCCGAGAATAGCTAACGTTAATAATTACAAAAATAATACTATACCTTCTGTGCTCTTATTAGAGGACTATAATACTTTTATAGTATTTTTTTAAACTATATAACATAAAAATATCTAATTTTATAATTTATATGGTTAAAATATAATTAACACATGATAATTGTATTGAAAAATTTTAGTCAAAAACCTCTATGTCAACCGCTCATTTTAATTACGAGTGGGAATAGTGTCGGTCTGATCCACCCGGATACCCAGTGATTGCCGGGGGCCAGAGATTTATTTTTAAAATAGAGATCTAAAGCAACCAACCTAATATTAAAAAATATATTAATTATTTTCCTAAATTCAATTAAAATTGTGTTATTATTATCTTAATCTTGAAATATTGTTGACGTGATGTAATAGAACTAGGTAGAAATAAGTATAACATCTATAGCTTATGCATTTTTTTTCTATGATCAAAATCAAACGAGTATAAATATTTTGAAAAATTAAGATAAATATTATCATTGATTAAATATATTAAAGTATATTTGATCAATGGTATTGTTAATGATCGCATACATGAACACAATGATAGTTTGATAATGTTGGCTTTGGAAAAATATAATAACAATAATAAATTAAATAATAAATAATAAATCAAGTGGAACAAGAAAAATTTTTTTTAGTATGTTGTTATTGAATCCCACTTCAATATTATACTGTTTAAGGGCCTATTGTAAATTTTTTGCTGGAGGCCCAATCATGAGTCAGACCGACACTGGGTGGGAACGATCTATACTGCATATTTTATTACATAGTTTCCATCTATTTTTATTTGCTGATTCTAACAAATAGCTATGTATTATACGAGTATAATATATACATAATCTTAAATCATAAATTATACATGAAAATCTTCAATCACAATTATACTATGTTTTAATGATATGATAAACAACATGTAAAATGAAATAATTGAACCAAAAGCTTGTAAACCGACATTTAAGTGTACTCCATTAATTAAAATATAATTAAGTTACAGGTCAAAGTAAATAATCATAATATAATCAAATATTTTAATAAAAATTTCAAACAATTTAAAAATTACTGAAAGTACTAAAATGACAATAAATTTTTTCTAAATATAAAATAATGATTTATGTTTATATATATAATTATACGCGGTAATAATAATTGAGGAGTTATAAAAATGCTAGGGCACTGTAAAAAATGTAATCAAAATATATGGTTTAATTAATTATTATTTTAAAAGATAATTTTTTAATAACTGCTTAATATAAAAATTATTACATTTTTTATTTATCTAATCTGTGTTTGCCAAAAGTAAAGCGACTAAAATGAATAAATTATTATTTGGGCGTTTTAATGTTATAAGCTCTACATAATATTATTAAAAAAATAATTCACTATACTAAATGGTAGAAATTTGACAAGCACCATTCCACTATACTTTAACCTACGCACAAAAAATATAAATAAATAAATAAAAATGTAGGGAAAAAATTAGGCACGCAAAATTTTAATTGAAAAAAGCTATTGGGTTTAAGCATTTCATAAATTAATGTATGATACATTTTGTACAATAACTTCAAAAAGTTTGTATTAATTAAATAAAGAAAAGTAATTATTTCGTGCACTTATTATATTATAGATTCATATAATTTTGTATTAACAGTTAGAAATGTACTCATAGACATTGTAAACTTAGTCAACAAGAGAACGCTATCGTAACACTTGAGTTATTACAAAAAAAATTTATATATAGACGTTTTGATTTTAAACAATATGTACATGAAATAACTTGTAAATAAAAAATGGTTGTTCCTACCCTTCAATGTAAAACTGAAATCAATAAAAAATAATTTTTTAATTTTTCGTATTAACATAGGTAATCAAATCGATTACTACTATTTGCTATGCACAAATAAAGTGTATTTTATTAAAAAACTTTTTTACAGATATTTATTACGAAAATATTTTTTAAACTCTTGAAGAAATTTTAAAAAATTTTAAATATGTTGAAGTTTAATTCTATCCAATATCATTTATATTAATAGGAAAAAATTTATATTATTCCTTGCTATATAAGTATGTATTTTATTTTTTAAATACAAATATTAAGTACCTGTATTATCTATATATTTATCAAATAAATGTTGACTGTTATTCGGTATATTATTATATTAATACAAATGAATAAATGAGATGATTTCACCACTATATCACTCTTTAAAAAAAACCTTTTCTTAAAATCAATTACATTTTTCAATAAAATCAATGTTTGAAATGCCAAAAACCGATAATCTGATAATTCAAAAGTACTATTAGTAACAATTATGCTTCTATGTTTATTCAATTTTATGTTGATTTTCCAACCATCATGCGTTCTTAAGAAACATTTCTATCGTCGACTAAAACAAACTCAGGCATCTGAGACTTTTAATAAACGGAGAATTAAGATATAATTACTCCTCAATAGCAAAGCCAAAAAAGGTTAATACATAAATTATAGAACTAAAACAGAGGTATTTAAATTCGACTTGAATTACCTATTGATTTGTTGACTCTGACAAGTTCACTACGCTACTAAAAGTAATAAATATATTATACATAATGTGTTATTTAAAATGTATTATTTATTATAAACACTATTTTTGATGTGTTACTTAATTTTTTTATATATCACCTTGTTATGTTTTTTTATAATTTAATTAAAATCAATTATTTAACAGTGTTAAAAACCCTTAAATTATAATGTTAACAGTTAATGAAAACTCGAAATATAAAGATGAATTTATACAAATTATGAATTTAAGTTTTTCCGCAAACAATTTTTATGAAAAATTTAAAATGGTACTATTAAATTAATATTTATTTAAATATTATGATTAAAGTAAACATTACAATAACTACACAGTTATGAATAAGTAGGTCCTACTATATTTATGGCCAAATTAATATAACCCATGATAAGGGAATAATAATATAGTAAATTATAACAATTACCGTTGTTATCTAAATAAATTATTACTTATCATTATTACCTTGTAAAAAGGTTCTTGTTGATGTATTTATTAAACTTACGTAAACAAAGCAGTACAGCACAATAAAATATTGTACGATTTCGTCATTATAAGGTACCTATATCATATTAGGTATAAGTTAAAAATGTAATAAAAATTAAAAATCACTTTTTTATTAAAAGGTGATTTTTAATTTTAAAGATTTTTATGGAAACTTATTTATATAAAATGAGTATATCTGATTTAGTTTCTTTATTACTATGGTTAAAACATTTTTTTTACAAATTTAAAACTATTGTTTTATTGTTGTTTTTATGAATTATTATTTTACAATTTGTTTTTCTTGTTTTATCTTCTCACTATAATAGTGAATTTGTATAATCGAAATGGAATTAGTATTATGACGTGTTTTATTTTATAACTAACTGACCCCAGTAATTTGAGTCCAGTGGTAGATTAAAACGTGAGTAGTTGATGGTGAGTAGAATAACATACGCACTTGATCAAAATTTCCTCGCAACATAAGACACTATAAGAGATTCCACAAATAAATATAAATGAAATTAAAATTATATGTATAATGTAAGAATTAAAATATTTTTCCCAAAATTCCCAAAAACCTTACGTCTTCACTGTATTAATTTATATGTGTAATGCTAAGTTGTTCAAATTAATTTATAAATGAGGTTTATTATTATGTATTATATGCATCCTTTTTCGAAGTTGATAATAATCGATGTATCATATTTTAAAATCATACTATCTCCACATATACAATATTTAATAAACAAGTGTACATATATGTATATATAAATATATTATACTAATATATGTTAAAAATGTAGGTATATATTTATAGGTAGGTAATATATTAGAAATAATACAGAATACATAATTATATATGTACTTGTATTCGATTTGTATTAAATTGTCATATATAATATACATAGAATACCTACGAAAACTGTCATCCATAACTAATAATATAATTATATACATATGTGTATTATTGTTAACATTTGTTTGGTTTGATATTGATAGTCAATAATTTTACAAAAAATAATTATTTCTGGTGTACGTTTTACTGTTACTATTTTGTATATTATCTCTTCACTAAGATTCGTATAAAGTTTATAAATAAAACATCTTATCAAACCTATTGAACCAAAAGTGTATGAGAACCCAAGGCCGCATTTAGAAATTTTTTTCGGGAGGGTCCAAAATATATATATGTATATTATAATTTTATTGAATTTAGATTTTAACTTTTGATATTTGGTTAAAAATAAGACAGAAAAAGATTTAATCTTCTTTTATTATAATTAATATCATATTTTCATATGATATTATGATATAAAACTAAAATCAGTCAATGGTTAATTGGAGCTTAAGTCATTTTTGACTGAAAATATTTATGTTGGTATTAAAAATAAATAATTATTTTAAACATTCGTAAAATATTGAAGACATTTCAGAGGGATCCAGACACCCTTGACCCCCCCCCCCAGGTACGGCCTTGTGAGAACCTAATGAGTATTTATAATGCAGCAGCAGTGGTGTACATTCAATCTTGCTCTGGGGGGGGAGAGGGGGGTTAAAAAAAATAATCGTTAGCTTTTTTTTTTTCGTTGCACAGATAAATAAGATAAATAACTGCTATAAATAGATATTATTTTATACAACTTTTTTACCAATCTACAGTTTAGTTTTACATTACAGTAAATTAATAGCTATTGGAATATAAAAACAGCATAGTTAACAAAACTTTTCAAACACCTATCAATATAATTATTTAATTATCATAATATTTGTATAATTGTATATTTTAAGTTCAAAACGTAATAATGAAATTACAAATATATTACATGTCATCAATAATAAAACAATTTTCTTTTTCTTTTTTGACCCTGGGGGGTTTGATCCCGGAACCCCCCCCCCCAATGCCAACCACCTAGAACTCAATTTAAACTTTTCAATAATACCTTCTAATTGCTGTTAAAAAAATTCCTTAATATCGTATCATTGTCGATAAACATTAATCAGACCTAAACTACTTAACCTTTCATTTCCCATTCTGTTTCTCAGCTACGTCCTTAAACGACGCAATGTACTAAAAATATTATGATAATTTATTTTATAAGAATTAAATAATATACCGAATTAAAATTAGAAATATAATATAGAAAATATTACCTGGAAGATCTTTCTACTGAACATGAAGTTGCAGGTAAAGTAATGGCAATTTGTATAGCCATACATACATACAACTTCACAGAACATAATCTAGAAAAATGTTTCATCGACGTGATGAATCAACGGACAGATAAGATAAACTATAATTGTATAATAATTTATAATACATAGTAGTAAAAATAGATTAAATTGACATTCAATGATTATTCTATATTTAGGATAAAAATTGTCAAAATCAAACTAAAATTTCCATAAGTGTCCGTTATTTAGAGTGTCCGGTATTTAGGGGTTTTCCTATATGAAAGTAGTGAAAAAGTCCCCGTTTCCATAAAAAACGTCCGCTATTCAGAGGTGTCCGCTATTTAGAGGTATCCGTTAAGGGAAGTGTCACTCTATGTATATTAATACAAAAGTACTATAATGATTTAAACTTCTACGACGAGTAAGGATTCGTGAATTTTGTTACTAAGTCGAAAGACTAGGTACAACGGTATTATTAAAGATAAACCAAAATATATAAGTTACTCACTTCTTACTTCATTTCAAACGTCGTTCATTAGTAGGGAACGGATTTATATGTAAATGCATATTTTTATCGAAACGAGATATTTATTTATTTATGGTATATATATATCAACGGGTATCTACCCTTTTACAAATTGTATAAAGAAAACATATCAGACTATAAACTAATTAAGTATGGTAAAAACAAAACAAAAAAAAATTAAAAAAAATAAATAAAATAGGTAAAACAATAAATCAAAATAATTAGTAAATAAATAATTCTGATTTGGTTAAAATATAAACATTTCTCTTCCTCTTTTTTTTTTCTATTTTTTCACCTTTTATCATAATTATCAATATTTTTTAATAATAACATAGATTTTATTTTAAAACAATTTCGAGACAGAAAAAATATGTCTAAATACATACAAATTTTATTAGCTAAAATTAAAGCTCTATGCAGAAAAGAATTGGTATCACTATTCGTTTAAAAATGAGGAACAAAAAATAAATCTGAATTACGTGTAATGAGATATGGTATTCGAAACAGTGGCGTATTTAGGGGGGGGGCCAAGGGAGGCAATTGCCCCGGGCAGCACTTTTTTGGGGGCATCACATTTAACTGAGAACTTTTTTTTTTTAAATAGATGTAAAAATAATGATACAAATGTTTGTTATTTTTTTTCTATAGGGAAATCATTATCAACAAAACGTGTTATTTATATCAACACGACAACACTATTAAACAGCTATTTTGTGAAATTAATCTTCACATTTCATAATAAACGCGCGTGAATTAATTTATTGTTTGTCGTCGGCTTATCAGCTGTTCAAAAACACTGTACTACCACCATAAAACATACTAACATTTTCATGATATTGCGGGCCATGATGTTAGTAACGTGTTAATTACTGCTGTGACGACTGACGGCGTGATAGTGATAGTATGCTATTGAATTTTTTAATTTTCTTCAGAATATTTATTCCTTTTTTTCCGCATCTACCTATCGTTGGGACGTGTTGGATCAATGCTTATCCAAACCTGATAATGTAACTGTTAAAAGATTATCTGATACCAGATGGGCGGCTAGATATGAGGCTTGTTTAAGTTTATCACGTAATTGGAATGAAATTTTAAAGGCTTTAAATATTTTCATTAACAATCCAACTGAAAATTTTAAAACTAAATGTGAGTGTAAAGGACTGTTGAAAAAGATGAAAAGCTTAGAAATGGGTATTCTGGTATCAGTATGGAATGATATTTTAGAGAGGTTCAATATTATAAGTAAGAAACTGCAGAATATTCATATTGATTTGAATATTGTAATAACCCTATATAAATCATTGATAAATTATATAATGGATTTAAGAAACAGCTTTTCACATTATGAAAAACTTGGCATAGAAAAAACTGGAACTATAGAATATAAAGTTTCCCGTACAAAAAAAAGAAAAATGCCTTTTGATGAATCTTCTCAAGGTGATACAACATTCGTAGGTAAAAAATCATTTGAAATAAATACTTTTTTTATTATAATAGATTCTTTACTTACAGAGTTGAGAAAGCGTTTAAACTCTTATGAAAAAATTAATATTTCATTTGGATTTTTGTTTAACATTACTGAGTTGTCAGTATTAGAAGTAAGACAAAAAGCTGAAGAGTTACAAAAACAATATCCTCAAGATCTGGATATATCGTTTATGAATGAATGTATTCATTTTCGTAGTTACTTAAAAGGCTTACCAGAAATCGTGTCCACAAAATCGGTGCTTTATTTATGTAAAGTCATGAAAGATGATAATTTACAAGATGTTTACCCATATGTTAATATTGCATTGCGAATGTTTTTGTGTGTTCCTGCATCAAATACTTTAGCAGAGCGTTCATTTAGTACTCTTAAAAGAGTTAAAACATACCTTAGATCTTCCATGAATGATAATCGTTTAAACTCTTTGGCGATTCTAAATATTGAATCACAGTTGACAAATTCATTAAACTATGATGAAATAATTGAAGATTTTGCAAGATCAAATGCGCGACGAAAAAAAAATTAATTGAATGATATTTTTAACATATTATGAAAATAAATTAAAATAATAAAATAAATTAATACATTTTACAATTGGCTTTAATTTTTTTGTTATCATGGGTACTACTAAGAAAACCTACGATATTCAACATTCTAGGACACTCGATAGATTTTTATACTGCATGATACTATTATTAGCATATCACATGTATTGAAGTTTTTTTAGGATAAGAAAAATTGCTACAACAAAAAAAAATGGTGAGAGGAAAAGGGCATTAAAAAAATGTGCACCCGGGGCAGCAAAATCCTAAATACGCCACTGATTCGAAAACCAATTTCAAACAACAAATCTGGACACACAATATTATAATTAATAAGATCACAGACAAACATAACATCAGTTAATTTGCGTCTAAGTGAAAGAGGAACAAGGCCAATAAAATCTTGAGTTAGATGGAGATAGTCCCTAGATAATGGAATATTTGTCAAATATGAAATCCTTTTTAAAAATTTATATTGAACATTATCCAAATCATTTATGTATGTCAATTATTTACAGGACCAAATTACGGAACCAAAATCCAGATTGGATCTAACTAAAGATGTATATAAAGTTTTTAAACATAACGGATTTCTAAAATCTTTGGTATTCCTATTAATAAAGCCTAACATCTTAAACGATTTTTTAATTATCATTTTATGATTTATTTTAAAAGAAAGATCACTTTCAAAAAAGATGCCATGATCTTTGATTGAATTTACTCTAGTGAGAGGACAATGTTCAATATAATAAAAACAGTTATTGGATTTTTGTTATGTGTAAATGATATGATATGACATTTATCAATATTCAACGGTAATAAATTTAATTTACTCCATAAATGATATTTAATATTCGATAAAAAATGTTCGTGATTTAAATCATTCTTATTAATATGATGATACTTTTATTTTACATATTTCACTAATTTGTAAATATTTTTAAACATATTTTTATCATTTCATCATTCATATGTCTTCTTCATACGAAAATACAAGAAATTATTTAAAAATTAGATCCAGAAACTTCTATCGCTATTGGAAAAGCTCAAAATATACAAAATGAAACATTGAAAAATAATTTAACAAAATTTGAAATAAAAAATATATCCTTAAATAATAGTATGCAAATTGTCGAATCAGCATTTGAAAAATTAAAACTCGTAAGCGGACCAATAGATGTTGTAAAAAAGAAAATTCATACTGTTACAGAAAAAAATTCCAGGCTATATTGATTTTAAAACAATCAATGACATAATGAGTGACAAACACCCTTCTAAAAATTTTGAATTATCGCCTTCTGATAGTATGCGCTTGAAATATGCTTTAAATACATTGGTTGATGTGGAATGATAATTTATCCGTTTTAAAAATATTTTGATACCTAATAGGCGACATTTAACATTTGATAATTTAAAAGATATTGTAATAATTCAATGCAACAAATCATTTTGATAATTTAATAATTATAATTATTATTTTTTTTCCCCCACATATTTGGATGTTTTTAGTACATATTTTATAAATTATACATACATATATATGTACATATTACTATATTTTTATTACATATAAATCCGTTCCCAAATAATAATATATTACATTTTTATTATTTTTATATATTGTAAACTAATTTTATTATTGTTTTTATACCTTGTAATATATACAAATAGTTATTGTTAAATCAAGTTGAATATTAAACACATATTTTTTTTACTTTTAAGTTATATTTATTTAGTATTTAATAAGTATTTTTACAAGGTAGGTCTAATTTAACTTAAGTTTCTGCTGTAATTCCTATATTAAATTTCATATTTACTAGACATTAAAATCTTAATGTCGTTCTTCAGCTAAAAATGTTTTCCTCATTACTAGCATTACCATGTATATATTGTAAAATGAAACTTAACTTGTTTTACTATATGTGGTTAGTTTCTCTAGTCATTCAGTAGGTCTTTAAATTTGAATAGATTTGGTTGATTTTAATTCAATGATACATGGTCTGTTAGATAATCTGATAATTGCTTAGATTTACCTTGACATATACAAAAGTGTTTTATGTATTAATTTATGTATACGTTTATCAGAACATTTAGGAGCGCCTAAACACAGGAATGCACCTTATGCATTCTGCGCATGGGCGTAATTTATTCATCCCTATCATAATGTTACATAGGCGTGCACAGACTTTATTCGCAGGTTATGCAATAAGAAATATAGGGCCCCTCACAAATAAATTTTCTAATCTTCCCTTAATTTATTTGCATTTTCTTTTAACGCATATAAGATTCAAGTCACAATCTAAGTTTTTGCATATATACTACGTAGCTTCTTTACTTCCCTTAAAATCTAAAATTACACATAATTCTACGGTAAAATATTAAACAATGCACTGTAGAAATAAGTAGTTTGAAATTTGATTTATATTTATTAAAAAAAAATTTATTATTTATTTAAGATTAAGTATGTACTATATTGAATGCTTTTAAATAATTTTAATATATTTATAATGTTGTTATTTTATGGAGAGTACTTAAAATCTAAAGTTCAAGTCTTCTTTTTATCGGCACACATGCTTTGAATTCATCTATTACATCTTCAATATTGATTTCTGATGCCATCTTTTGCTCGATAAACATTAACATCAGTGAATCAAGACGTTCTTGTAACATAGTGTTTCTAAGTTTAGACTTTAAAATAGACAATTTAGAAAAATCCCTCTCACACGAGCAGCTTGTCACAGGTATTGTTGCAAATTGTGTTAAAGCTTTATTGAAGTTTAAAAATATTGTTTTCCGGTCGTTTTCTGATAACCAATTCAGCCATACTACAATTGTTTTAGTTGATAACCCTCTAATAGGAGTTCTATCAGACATATTTGTAATGAGCTTAATTTCATACTCAAATGTAGTATTCAAATTAAATTTTTCCTTCAATATTGAAATATCATTACTATCAAGCTTTAATTGATTTAAATTTCCTGTGGCGGTAATTAAATTTAAAGTTTCTTAATTTAATAATAAATATGGGCCCCTCCAGTGGCGTGACAATTTTTAAATAGGGGGGCTAACTACTTTTTTGGATAAGTAAGGTAAGAGAGGATATGAGAATTCAGCCTTACCCCCCTCGCCATCTACCACCAAGTTTCTAAACGTAATTCAAGCATTTTAGTATAGTTTTAAAGATATTTATTAATATATAATTTATAATAATAATAATAATAATAATTTTGGTTTCAGTGTTCAGTCACTTGCTCCACTCTGACAGCTGCATCCTCTTAGGCGAATTTCTGGCAAATTCAGTTATTATTTCACTTTCATCGAATTGCTCTTTTTTATTTATATTAGCCATAGCTAACCCATTCAGTCTGTTTTCCGACATGGTGCTTCTTAAAAAAATTTTTAAGCGATTAAGTGCTGAAAACGTTCTTTCCGGAGTGAAAGAGGTAACTGATAACGTGGCGAATAATTGTAAAAGTATTTTAATGTTAGGTCGAAGATTGGTGTGATGAGAGAGTGAATCAAGAGCAGAATTCGGTTTTGGAATAGTATTTTGACTCCATTGTTGCCTCCATATGAACAGGTTAACTCTGATTGTAGATGAGGTATCATCATGGAGATCTTGGACATATATTTTAGCAGTTTTTATAATATTTTTATCGTCATACATATTTAAATTGGCCGGAATAAGTCCTTCAAGTGGCATAACATTAATAAGCCTTTGATTAAAACGAGCATCCATTGATTCTATTAAATAGTCAAGATACATTATACATATAAACACGGCCCATGGGGGGGCTATAACCCCTTAGCCCCCCCCCCTGGCTACACCCACTGGGCCCCTCACATGAAGCCGCAGACTATGCAGCAGCATACCCTGCATACCCCGTGCGCACGCCTATGTAAAGCTGTTATCAATATATTATATCAAATCACTATAATACGATAATAATATTATTATAATCATATGAGTTTTGAATCAAACTATTGAAAATTTGAACATATTACATACCTTAATTTACATTTTTTTGTGCTTTGAGCATTTCAGTAAATAAATCATTATACATACCAGATACATTTGAAAAAAAATCAAAACAGCAATAACTATCTAATATGTTGAGATGGCTTTTAAAAATGTTTATTTATATCCACATTTACCCAATTACCTATTTGAATATTTCATAAACCAGACTTTACCAACATTTATTACACAAAGGATATTTACTAAATGTTTCATTGAGTATTAACAATACAATTCACAAACATCTTAAATATAAAAATGCATTCCTGTGTTTAGACGCTCCTTATGTAACAGCCTAACATTATGATAGTGGTGAATAAGTTACGCGCATGCGCAGAATGCTTAAGGTGCATTCCTGTGTTTAGACACTCCTGAAAATTTCACCTAAACAGTCATTTTGATCATAAATCATAATACTTTTTTTGTGTTCCTAAAGGGAGAATTATCATGAAATCTATCTCCATATGTACGCCACTGTACTTATAAACAAAAAAAAACATCAAGTCATGTTTATGTGTTGAATACTGCAGTCCCCGAAATTAAATCGATAAAATGTATAAAAAATAGCACGACCTATTTAAAAATAATATTTATTTAATCGGTAGTTGGTACTTGTGAGTACTCATCAGTTCTTTGAATTTCATACATCTTTTATTTCGCTGGATTTGTTAGTAACGTGGATCTACATAGAGTTAATATAATTTCATACTATAATTATAGTATTAATATTATTATTATTCAAAATAAATATGATTATCAATGGAAATTTCTTTTTGTATCTGCAAATTTCAACATGATTAAATTCAAGATATAACGTCGAAATAACAATGAACCTTTGTCACAGGCCCACACCTGTTAAGCCCATATCTTAATACATTTATTTGTCACATCAAATTTTTGAAATTAGCCCTGCAATAGTGGAGCTTACAATCCGCTTAATTGTCCCAACTGATACTTTTAGTCATTTCACAAATCTTGAATACATTTTATTTTATAATAATATTTGAATTGGAAAAATAAATATTTTAGGTTGGTGTCATTACGATGGCAAGATTGGTGGGATTTTTACATTTCGATTTTGGTACTTCTGATTTTTTGATTTTTTTCGTTATCTCGAGGGAACAATTGCATGATGTGTTTTGATGCGTTACTGTGTTTTATGCAAAGGTATGTATAATAAATGTTTATTATACATATCTGTGGTTTTATGATTAGATAGCCGAGCTGCTCAGCTAGGGCTACTGATAATGAATAACATCGTTATTCGTTAACTCAAAACCTTGGTTAAAATGTCAAAACAAAAAATAACATTAACTGTTACTTTAGTAGTAACTGTTATAATTCACTGTAACTGTTAGATTAGGAAAGTTTAGTTAATTTCTGTGAATAGTTCAAATGAACGTAGTTCACTAATTTTATTGATCATACTAATATTGTTTGGCAATAAACTATTCGTATTATCACTACTTAGTAAAGCAGTACACAGTTCAGTAGGGATGTGTAGTTTATGAGCTAGTCGATTCTTAAAAATTAACTGGACGAATCGAATCAGTTTTACAAGAGTTGGCGACTCAGTGACTTAGTTATACTCACAACTCAGAACTGCACTACTGTAGATACACGACTCTCAACTCCCTTAATAAAGGTTTGCGAATCCAAACGGAAAATGTAATACCAACTTAAACAATAGTTCCCCTCGGATTTGGTTATTAATATTTCTATTGTTTCTTAAAACAGAATTTCTGACTTTCTGAAATTCGTAACGTTGTACGCTTATAGTCATAATTAGTTTCATATGCGATAAGCTATTCACAAATATGGACTGTGAACTTGTGAGTCGAATCAACAGTCGAGACTTGAAGAGTTGATTAGAGTAGTGGTAATCTGATTCAAACAAAGAGTTGAAGAGTTGAGAGTCGACTCTTTGATTCAACCATAGATAATAGAAGAAATCTTAAATTAAATTCTTAAGCCGGGTTTACACGACGCGAATCTGATGCGCGAGGAAAGATTCGCGAGACATCTGATTCACCTAAATGTTTACACGATACGTATCTATACACAAAGCAATGTGATTCAGGGCGAGCCACAGTTTATGTGAGTCAACGATGACGGCAATACGTGTACCAGTACCTCCAGTTGCAGCTGCGTCATTTGCCATTATTGCGATACAAATTTTAAATGTTATGGTTATGGTAATCTTTTAATTTTGGATTCCACAAAACTGGATAATTTCGGTATAACTCAATAAATTGAATACATTGATTTTGATCCATGGCGTTACATGGGAGGCAAGACGCTCAAAGAAGTAGTTCACACGACTCGAAACAAATCGACGAACCTCCTTTGACGCGCGCCCAAATACCGACTGAGCTACCGCTCGCCACGAGGCATCCTCGCATGACTCGCTTATCACCCGAGGCAAGTTCAGACGGGTCGAATCATGTCGAATCTTGACTCGCGCATCAGATTCGCGTCGTGTAAACCCGGCTTTATATTATGTATGGATTCAACTCATTACACTGAACTGAGTTGAAAGATTCAGTTCAGCAAAATGAGTTGGAATTCCCATCCCTACAGTTCAGTAGTAGTTCACACTACTTATGGGCAATTAAATATTTGTTATCTAACTGTAAACAGCTGTTTACCATTTACAGGATTTGGAACAACGAATCGAGATAATTTTCAAAGAAGTTCGCAACCTATTTCATTTACACAATGCTACTAATTTTTTTCGAACTGTGAACTGTTAAGTTACAGGTACTGAAACAGTTTAGAATAGTTCAAATGAACTATTCGTTCAAGATCTTAACATCTCTATTTAGTTATTTTCTCCCATCACTATAAAATGCCATACGCTAATCAACCGTCGGTGCACATATCTGAATTAACTACTGAATATATTAAATTTCAAATTGAAGATACTGATCTTAGTGTTGCCAATAGTTTACGCAGAGTGTTCATCGCGGAAACTCCAACATTAGCTATTGATTGGGTACAGTTGGACTCAAATTCCACAGTATTAAGTGATGAGTTTATAGCATCCCGCATTGGTCTCATACCATTGACATCAGATGAAATTGTTGACCGCCTCCAGTACTCTAGAGATTGCACTTGTTCAGATTTCTGTCATGATTGCAGTGTTGAATTCAACCTAAATGTTAAATGTTCAGAAGAAATGACCAGACATGTGACAACTGCTGATTTGGTGAGTAATAATCCACATGTAGTAACTGTTACTTCTAGGAATCAAGACAGTGATATTAATGAATATGGTGAAAAAGATGATATCCTTATTGTGAAATTGCGCAAAGGACAAGAATTGAAAATAAGAGCATTTGCTAAAAAAGGATTTGGAAAAGAGCATGCTAAATGGAACCCAACTACTGGTGTAAGTTTTGAATATGATCCAGATAATACAATAAGACATACACTGTTTCCGAAACCAGATGAATGGCCAAAGAGTGAATATTCAGAACTGAATGAAGATCAGCATGAAGGACAATACAATTGGAGAGCTAAGCCAAATAAGTTTTTTTTTAATGTTGAAAGCTGTGGATCATTAAAGCCTGAAAATATTGTCTTAATGGGAGTTGCAGCTCTTAAAAATAAACTGTCTAATCTCCAAACACAATTCACTCAAGAAATGGATGCATTTGCTATAAATTAATTTGTATATGCGTATGTTTATATTTAATGTTCAGTACATTTTTTTAAGAAATAAAAATATTCAGATTTTGGTATGTTCGTATTTTTAGTAAATTTAATGATAATATGTTAAAATAAATAATAAGTTTGTAAATATAAAAAATGTTTATTTTATTATTTTTGAAAGTTAAATACTTAATTTAATTTCTTAGGTAATTTTGAATGAGCTTTAATTTAGATAATACCAATTTACCTGAAGTAACTGTTACATGTAATATAAGATAAATTAAAAAAGCACTTAAATTATTACAATATGATATACAATAATTAAAATGTATTTTATCAGTTGTTTAATACTTATTACTTCAGAAGTATAAATTCTTTTATTGAAAGTAATTTCCAAGTTAAATCTAAATTTATATAATTTTTAAAAATTTGGGTAAATAATGATTCAACCTTAAATACATTTTTAAGTGATATTGGTTGTGAAAAAATAGAAGTTCTTAGTTACTTTTATTTTAATGTAATAAATTAATTTCAAAGGTGAATGATACGATCCTAGTATATAAAATTCAAATAAAATCAATACTCCCCCAAATATATGTGGTGCCCTGATGTAAGCTACACTCAATACGGCAATATCCCTGACTTTTTATACTACTGAAGATTTCCTAGAACAGAGATTGCTAGTGAAACTTTTACCGTTATTTTAGAAAACAATTGTATAAAGAAATCAAACTTTTAAAATAATATAAAAGAAAATGATCTGGTTACAATATCAATATTTATAGTAAAAAAATAAATACATTTTTATAATAATTTATGACTAATAAAATGCAATACTTTTTATCTAATTATATGAATACATAAGATTGTTGTAGGACTATTTTACACTTATGTTATACAATTAAAATTACAGTTAAGTAAGAGGTATTAGTCAACTTGGTACCATTTTTTAAGGCCATGTAGGCAAAAATAAATACTATATTTATATTACATAAAGTAATTATATTTAAAAATAGAATAATATATCCTACATCCAGTGCCAACCTGGGTACATTTTTTTGATCGGCTGTAATATAAAAGGGCCCCTCACCAATGATGCCAATAGCAAATGGTAATGGGATTTTTTACAGTTATACATTTTTAAACATAACTATATAATTGTTTTAAAGTTCTAAAAACCTTTTCCAAAAAAATGTATATGTACCTAACTATTTTTGTAAGTACCTTATTCTACTTTAGGTTTCATTTAAACTTTTACCCCTTGGGTATAGTGATAAAAATAAATAACAAAATATCTATAATGCTACCTATTCAATATTAGTGTTGATGCATATACTAAAAAATAAAATAAATAGATATTTGTATTATTCTCATTATCGTTACGTAACTGTCGCGTGAAGTCTACTTACTAGATCTTGACGTATTATAGTCCTTATTATAATAAGGACCTGGTGTTCAAATGAGCTATTATATTTGTATCTGGCCACGTCGATATAACCTCCGATGACGTATCGATGGGGGAATTTTTTCGAATTTTATGTCGGCGCACTTTATCGCGCTGGAATTGTTTTCAATTCCAAGGTTAAGCACTTGCAACAAATCAAGCTGGTAGTGCGGATCGGCTGTGCCGACCTTTATTTTGTGCATGTTTGTTTCTTCCTGTTTAAGACTATCACCGCGTAACCGTGCAAACTCCGTACCGTCTCCCACGTTCTTGTCACGAGTGTTCAGTTGGGCCGTGCCGTCGGTCGAATAGTTGTGCCGTAGTCCACCATTTCGTGCGTGTGGCTTGCATTCTTACCTTGTATTTTCCACATCCGCCATTCAGGGTCATCAGGTCGGTAATATTGAATTGAGTCCCGCATACATTTTTGGGTTATCGGAGTTGAGTCCCTTCAGTCTATTAGCGTTACCCAGGAGACAGCACGTGGAGGTTGACTGAGTCTCCCAAAAATTGTGTGTGATTGTTTACAGTATTTATTTATTCTTTTTTTTTTAATCGTTATAAAACACAAATAAGTATAAAATACAATAAGTTAATTAATTAGTTTATAATATAATTTAAGTAGTTGTATATGATTGTTTTGTTTATAGTTTTTTTTTTTTTTTTTTTGATTGTTTTAAAACACAAGTCAGTTAGTATAAGTTACTATAAAATACAAAAACTAATTTAATTTAAAATTAATGTAAAATATAAATATAAAAATAAATTTAAATAGTTGCTGGTAAAAATTTAAAAGATACAGATTTTAAAAACTCAAATCTGCAAATTTGTTTACTACTGTATTTTTTTATTTGTTCCCGTAAAAATTGTTGATGGCCGTATAGAAATATCGTCCACAGCTTTTCTTTTTACAGCGTTACTAATTTTTTATCTATTCAGTATGTTTTCGTCACACTTTTCGTGATTGTGTTCAGTTTTTTAACATAACATTATCAGAAGATAATTTAAAATAACACTTACATGAGTTTTTACAACATGTTCATAGTTGAACCTCGCTTTGCAACATTTATGAAATCTAAACTTATAACCTTTAATAATCAAAATTGTTTTATTTTTTTCACTCGGCATAGACTCCATATTTCAATGTTGTATTCACGAAGTATTTCACTAAGTATTCAGCACGACTGTTTGATTTTCGACGAGTATATCGAACTCAGCCGTCGACGAATATAGAGATTATCGTTTTCAAGATTCGTATCCGGTATAATATAATGTGTGAAGTTCAAGGTCGTCACCGGCTATATAGATGATTTTGATACCTTATATCTATATGGACTCAATTCAAAAACATTAAGATAATACCCGGGACTCAATTCAAATACACTATGAAAATATCCGGGACTCAATTCAACGTCAGCCCATCAGGTAGTGTCACCGTCATCGGGGTTGGTCGTGTCCAATAAGCGGATCCAGATTCTTCGTCATCTGTCGATCTTGGTGGCTGTCGCACGTGATTTGTGTACGGTCGAGTGGGTGCAACCATACAGACCCCAAGACCGTTTGAGGTATTCATGCTCGTAACTAGTGAGGCATAGCGTGATCTGGATTATTTTATTGCTCATAATTTATTATTATAAATATTATTATTTTTTGTTAAGATCATTATTATAACTCTTTTTATTATTATTATTATTAATTCATATTTTCATATTAGTACTTTAGCTCGAGCGCCCATCAATTGTATATTATCATCATCATTATTATTACAAGTTATTCATTTTAGTTCATAAGTTAAGGGTACGATTATTTATGGTATATACTAAATTTGAGGTTACCTCTGTCCCTCATTCCCATTTTTGACTGACGTTACAGTCGGGTTTATATCGAGCGTGGCGAAACCTTCGGATTACTTCTGGCCGACCATTGAGGTTTCGCGTACACCTGGTTTAGTATTTTATTAATATTAATTAGTGTGTACTAAGCTATGTTTCATCAGTGTCTCCCATCGTATTGTTAAATAAAGAACATTTTTTTTACTTTAAATCTTGTATAAAATTAATGTACTGCACTATATACATTTATGACTGTTGTAAAACAAATATCTATTTAAATAAATAACATATAATATTTTATTCAATGTTATAGTAAATAAAAGTAATTAATATAGTCAAATAGTAAAGTATTTTTTTGTAATTCTGAAGACGAATTTGCATAATAGTTTATTATTTCTTATATATTTGGAATTATGTCACTTTCAATATTAGTTAATAGAAGAGGCTCTAATAGTTCTTGATCGAAAGACTATTTTTTACTGATTTTTTGTACTTTTGTTAATAAATTATTTATTTTTTACATTAAGACGCTAAATTTGTATACATTATTTTATATGGTTTTTTTTTTTTTTTATAAATTATAATTTTATTAATTATTATTATTTCATTTTTAAAAGAGTTTTCATCCTTTCGTGTTCCCACAAAAAAAGTCTTAAGTTGAGGTTTGAGGTACGACTTTAAATTTCCAACGAAAAAAGTCGTAAATCTGAAAAAAAGTAGAAATAATAGTAATTTTTTAAAAAATTGATGGAAAATAAAAAATTAATGTATGGTAAAATATATGCTAGATAATTAGTGAATCTTAAAAAAAGAAAAAAAAATTAGAAATCGTCTTTTAATTTTGTTTTGCTCTTGAACAATTGGCAAAATAGAGTTATCACCATTTTCGTTGGATGTATCTTATTGTACTCTTATGTTAATTTTAGGTAGTTTTATTTTTGATCGGCCCATTCTACAGAAAAAAATACTACGGGCCCACCCATAACCAACCCGCAATATTTACATTATGGCACGGCCCGGTCTAAGCCTTGTACGGGCCGGGCTGGGTCGGGCTAGTCCGGCCCGTGCAAATCTCTAGTACCCACTTGCCCATATGGTAAAGACGAAACTGATCATATGTATCCGACCTTCCCTCAAAAAAAGTGGCTGTACCCGTCAATAGCGTTTATATTTGAATTTATATTTAAAATTTTAATACTAAAAAACAAACTTTCCCATTAATGAGTACCTATAAAGTGATAACTGAAAATTGATGAGTGATTACAAATCAGCAGAAAAATTTGTTATTTTAAAATTTAATAGATTTGATTCATTAAGATTTAGGTTCAAACTATAGACCTTATAGTATAGGTCTATGGTCCAAACAGACTTGGTTAAGATATGATTTGACTTATCAATTTTGAGTTGATGAATTGACTCATTTAAGTGAATTGAATTGAGTGAATTGATTCACTAAAGTGAGTCATAATTTCCATCTCTAATTGAAACCCATAAGATCTAGTGCTCAGTTTTAACCACAATGTGATACGGTGCTCATCTATAGACCATTGAAAACATAACCTATAAAAAATATTTACACATTTTTCTATTTAGTTTGGATTACAAAAAATATTTTGATTGTTGATATCACAAGATACAAAAATAACGAAAAACATTTTTGGTACTCACTTGTATTCCGATTTTTTTTACCATTGTTTTCATAATATGGATTTACTCTAATGATGAGCATTATCGAGTAGTATTATCGAACTATTCCATAGTTTTTCAAAATATTTGATTGTTCCAAATTATTAGAAACTATTCGGACCAGTGGCGTATCCAGGGGGGGATTAGGGGGTTATAACACCCCCCCCCCCCCGAAAATGTTTAGTGTATGTATATTGTCTATTGATTATAATAAAAACATACAAAATTAAAAAAAAAATGAATGCTACATTTTTTATAACACCCACCAAAAAAAAAAATTCTGGATACGTCACTGATTCGGACTATCCGATAGTTTTGAATTATTCAATATTATTCAATAGTTCAAATTATTCTAAACTATTCGGGCTATTCGGTAATTTCAAATTATTCAATTATTCGATAATTTATGACTTCTGAATTATATATCATACAAAATCATATTCGACTATAATATTCAATAGTTCATGCTTACTATCGAATACTATTCGATAGTGCCCATCACTAGTTTACTCTTCATTAGTCACAAATAATCATGCCTTACGCTAATCAACAAGCGATAGCAACTTGTTATCAATTTCCGTAACTGTTATGAACTGTTATTGTTACACATAAAATCATATATATATATATATATATATATATGCATAAAATTAACAGAGAAAATAAGTTACTGTTATTGATACTATTACTAGAAAGAAATGTTGCAATCCGCGATGATGTTTTCCAACTGATAACCGGTAAAATAACCTCAATGTTTTATCAAATTCTACAATTTTCTAATTGTAATTTGAAATCAGTCTATCCGATATTCTGATAGATATTAAGTGATTTAACGTTTATTTGTTCTGTTCAGTTTTGTTCCGAACCGCGATATTTAGTAAAAACCGATATTAAACGCAAATTGTTGTGTATACCCCGGTCCAACACGATGTCTGTAGTACAGGACGTTAGCAAGTCCAACGAATCGAAAAAAAATGAAGAAATTGTCGACGAAGAACAAGATGTTGAAGATGTTGAAGATGACTCAACTGTTACAAAAAAGAGGAGAAAGCGAAGAAAGAAGAAGACACAAATGAATAGTAAGTACTTTAATATAGTTTTGTATATTACGATTCAACTAAATGTTTAATGCCATGTGTATTTTCAGCTGATGAAAATGATACAAATGAAAAAGTTGAAGCAGAAGAAGAAGTAACAAGTGGTGTAACTAAAATTAACATGGACGGCGATGTCGAAGGTGATAAAAAAAAACCTAGACGCCGTGCAAAGAAGAAGGAAGTCAAAGAAATAGAACTCGAGACAAAAGAAAAAATGCAAACGGATCCTCCATCTGTGCCGATACATGAACTTTTCCCAACAAGTATTAATTTAATTAAAAAAAAAAAATTTTATCTTACTTTTGGATGGATCTCTAAATTTTTCAAAATACTATTTATTAATTAATTAATAATATATTTATTTTATATATTAATATTTTGTTATGAATAGTAGCTTTTTTTTTGTTTTAATGTACAAATATTTTTCTACTTATAAAAAATAGTAAACCTCTTTGAATACATTACTTTTATTTAAGGCAAGTACAATTTTAATTAAAAAGTTATATAATAAATAAATTGAATGAAATCTTATAAATTAACTTTCTCTATTTATAAACATTTTTATGAATAATATTAAATTTAACAAAATAGTTTTGATAATAATAATATAATATATTATATAATAAATATAATATACTCCTATATATATTTTATAATTCTTTTTATATTATATTTGTTAATAATCATCCTATACAGCAAATGTTATTATTATTACATTTATTAGCTGGTGGTGTGATGTTAGCCATCCAATCATTAACAAATAAAGATAAGATTAATCCATGTTAACGCTACAAAGTGCACAAAAAATATTTTGTAAATTATATTTATAAATTAAAGTTATATAAATTAGTTAGTCATTTGGTAAATATAAAGAAAAAAATTTTGATTGTTGCTATTCATAATACAATTTTTTATTCCAAACCTTAAATTCTATTTAATTCTAACCATTTGTTAAAATGTATCAATTATTATAAACAAAATGTTTACCAGAAATATTTCAAATTATTATTACAACTTCATTTTTTATTAAATTTAAGTTATGTTTGGATTTTTTACTGACAATTTTTTATTTCAGGTGAGTATCCTGTTGGTCAAGAAGTTGAATATGATGGTCGTATGGGTAAACTACGAATAACAAGTGAAGAAAAACGTGCAATAGAACGTTCTAGATATGATGATTACAATGATGCCCGAAGAGCAGCTGAGGCTCATAGACAAGTAACATAAAATTTATAGTTTTTTTTTTAATTCAATAATTTTTAAAATAAACATTAATGTCATATAAGGTACGTAAACATATTCAAAACTGGGTAAAACCAGGTATGACCATGATACAAATCTGTGAAGAGTTAGAACGATGTTCAAGAGCTTTGATTGGAGAAGATGGCCTTAAAGCTGGTTTAGCCTTCCCAACAGGATGTTCAAGAAATAACTGTGCAGCGCATTATACTCCTAATGCGGGTGATCCTACAGTGTTATTATACGATGATGTTACTAAAATTGATTTTGGCACGCACGTAAATGGTAGTATTATTTTTTTTCTTTCAATATTTAATAGATACTAAATTTCAATTTAATTTTAGGCCGTATTATTGATTGTGCATTTACTTTGACTTTTAATCCTAAATATGATAAGCTTGTTGAAGCTGTAAGAAATGCTACTGATACTGGAATAAAAGTAAATTAAATTAATGAGTATTAATTGGGCAGATGAAAGTAATGATTTGGTTATAATTAAATTATTAGGCTGCTGGTATTGATGCTAAGCTTTGTGAAGTTGGTGAAGCCATTCAAGAAGTGATGGAGTCTTATGAAGTAGAGCTTGATGGCAAAACATTTCCTGTAAAATCAATCCGAAATCTCAATGGACATTCTATTGATGCATACAGTAAATACTTAATTATTGTATTAGTTTTTTAATTTATAAAATTGTTTTTCTTGTTTAGGGATACATGCAGGTAAAACAGTGCCAATTGTTAAAGGTGGCGAAGCTACTATGATGGAAGAAAACGAGTTTTATGCTATTGAAACATTCGGCTCCACTGGTCGTGGAATTGTACGTGATGATATGGACACTTCACATTATATGAAAAACTTTGATGCACCATATGTACCACTTCGCCTTCAAGCATCACAAAAGTTACTTGGTACAGTCAATAAAAACTTTGGTACTCTGGCATTCTGTAAACGTTGGCTTGATAGAATAGGAGCTACTAAATATCAAATGGCATTAAAAGACTTATGTGACAAAGGTAAATTTCCATTTAATGTTAAAATATAATGCTTTTTGTTTTAACTATTTATATTTTTTATTTATACACAGGAATTCTAGACGCTTATCCCCCATTATGTGATATTAAAGGCTGCTACACAGCGCAGTTTGAGCATACCATTGTACTTAGACCAACATGCAAGGAAATTATTAGCAAAGGAGATGATTATTAGCTTTGATAAAGTAATTACAAGTCTGTCATAACATAAGTGTATGGAGCCAATAATACAACAATTAAAATCAACATTGATGTTATTTTTGAAATGTTAACTTTTTGATGGTCAATAAATGATTAAATAATTAATTTATCGTATATTTTAAAATCCTATATAAAAAAAATTCTGAACTACAATAATAAATTATGCTAACATAAAATTATGAATAAAAAATAGGCATTGCTTAATTTATTATCCTCATATCTTTTTTTTATATATAATTTAACAATTTATCACTGATTCTTTTGTTGCTCATCATTGGTTAACAATGATTCTGCCATACGTTCATAGTCATCTAAACTGAACTGTGTAAGAGAACGGTCAAACTCCTTCATGAATTCTTTCAATACCTTTACTGTATCTTCGGTACTATAGTGTTCTTGTACATGTTTAGTGATCATTTCTTCTAAATCATCGGTTTTAATTAATGTCTGTTGTTTTACAACTAAATTCAATCTGGTACCATCTTTTATTTGTGGGTAATCAACTAAAGATTTTTCATCTATAAATAGTAAATAAAAATATACATATTAATATTTACTAAAAAATGGTAAACTGATATGTACTGCTAAAAAGTAATCAGATAATTACCACATAAAGGACGGCCGGTAAGTAATAACCTTTGATCTTTAACAGGAACCTTAAATGCTTCGAATACATGATTTTTTAGCTCTGCTACTGTCATCTCATTAGGAACCTAAAAATGAATTGTTTGCATTATAATGCTATGAAAAAATTAACTGAATCACAGAACTAGTAGATAATTGATATTTAAAATTTTATAAATTTAAAATTGATCTTAAATAATATTTTAACTCTGTTCACATCTTTCTATTCTACCGTAAATAATAAGCTTAAAAATAACTCAGTATAATTGTGTAATATTAGGAATAATTTGGTTGTATAAGGTCAATCTCATAAAATATTATATACAAAAATAATTTTTTAGTAATTAATCATTTATTTTAAATTCCATTCTTAATAAACAATGTAAAAATAATAAAAAATAGCATTTAGTGGACAGTATATATTACATATTTTAATTAGGAGATAAATTGTAAAATATAATAAAAATTATTGAGTTATAATCATATAAAAACTTGTTGAGAAGCTAGCATATCTGCAAATGGTTTGACTAGTCCTCGAGTCGCAAAGTAAAACACAAGTCCAAAAGTAATTGATATTGGTAAAGCAGGTAGTGCTCTTCGGAATATAGCCAATAATAATAGTGTCAAACATAATCCAATAAGAATTGCTACAAAGCATGCTAATGTGGTATTCCAGTCTCCATAAGATGATGCTTTACCCACTAACACACTGTAGAATATGAAATCTCCCAATCCAAGTTTTACGCCTTTGTCGTCATCATCTAATAGTCTATTAACTCTAACTTCTTCAGGCTGATGCTGTTGATGCTCTTCAACCCATGTTCTAGTAAATCCATTTTGACTATCTGTAGTACTGTCAATACTATCTGAACGATTTATCATGTATACAACTGTCGATGAATAAATTAGCGCAGGAAATATTTGTTCGTTACGTTCTTCAGCCAATTCAACAAGTATACGTAATGGTCCTCGAGGAGTAAGGACAGCAATCAAATCCCAAATAGAAATAACAAACAGCACAACCCATGTGGTCCATTCAGGCATATATTTTATGAACACAAGTGCCATAAGTGCAGCAATAAATATTAAGTAGGATTGTTGAAGTCGCAATGGACCTTTCCAATGAATACATACCATTCCTAGCACACCGATATTCCATATTATTAAAAAAAAAGTTATATAGTCCATAGGAATATTATAAGTATGTAAAATTTCTTCAATGTAAAGACAAGTGAACATGGACAAGAGCAGCAATGACGACATAATAAGCCATCCATGTATCAATTTATAACACCGATATTTGTATAATGCTATCAGAACTACTGTCATTATAATAACAACAAACATCAAAATCAATGAGTTGGCTACAGCACTCAGTACTTTTGAAGAAGGCTCAGGACTGGTCTCATGAAATGGTGTATACACCAAATATATATCTTTAACATTGTAGAATGATACTGAATTGATTGTAGCAACTACGACCAACATGCACATAGATACAGGAACGAAAAGTTTAATAACATGTTCTGCACCATACTTGAGAGTTTCTTCTTCTTGGGCTGTTAAAGAGTCGCGACGCGATGTTTCCCTTGGAGCTGCCATCAATGGTACTGTTTCTCTACGAGTTGGCGAATTGACGTTCTCGTGCATCAATAAAATACCAATAAGAGGAGATCAAAATGCAAACCCAAATCAAAACACAAATATAACAGTGTTTGCACTCTCTCTACAGCGTAACAAAATAATGTATTGTTAAAAAGCGCCCATACTCACATCGAATGAACTTTCCTGTCCGTTAAGTATTTTGATGTTGATTTTCATTGTTACTGAATGTGTGCGAGAATCACTTCATTTAAACTTTAAAATTGATTCTTGATATTCGTTGATCTCAAACCATTGTCGTATCGTAATAGTTGTTTGATTGAAAATAGGTTGAAGAGGAGCTCGATCAAAATGTCAAATTAATTATTAGGAAATTGAATAATGGGCATTGAAAAATTATTGATATTGAATAAAAAATTAAAAAATTACATACTACTTCGTGAACAGTCTATACACTGCTAACGCAGGTCGCTGTTCATAGACAAATTTAATCGATTATAATACTTAACAAGGAGGTTGTATGAGTTAAATGATTTCAATAAATGGCGGGAAATTCAAATATTTGTATTAAAATCGACAAGTGTTGATAATATTGTATCTAATAATATTATTTTCACACACTTTTGATAATCAGAGTAGTGTTCGGAACTTTCACTTCAAATTTGAACTCATTCACGTTTAAGTTCTATGAAAAATGAACACATTAATTTTTTTTATTTTATACTTATGAATTACTTACCAGTATTTTAAATAAATGGGATCTTTACAAATGTATTAAGTATATCTTATATTATGTTTATAATCTATACTTAAACATATTATAATCAATATTTATTATTTATAAATATATTTTTAAAATTTTAAATAAATTTAAACGCCCCGAAAATTGTTCAAATTAATTTAAAATGTAAACGTCGTTCAGGTTTACGTTCTATTTGAAAAAAGCAAGTTACATTCGCGTGTCGTTCACGAAATATGAACGTGAATGCATAAAAGTGCATTCAAGAATAAAGTCCTTTTAAAAACATTGAATCAGAGTAATATTTAAAAAACCATTTTGTTCAAAATATTATCCTATGCGGAGCTCAAGCACATATTTTGTCTTCTTATCTCTCTTTCATCTTTTTTTTCTTCCCCTTTTTCCCAACTATTTGGAGTCAACCAATATAAAAAACTGATTTCTAACGTGTTCCTCTGAAATTAAGGCCACTTTACGAAACTTAATTACTTTACTAAACTTAACGAAAATTAAATGGTCGTGTTTCAAGTATTATATATCACGAATAACATACGTCTTACCCTATACACTTATCAGTTTGCTCGTTTGAAAATCGCATACCAGGCTACTTGCTTGTTTCCTTTCACAATGAAATCGTATGACGAATGACAAGAATAAACCACGAACACGTTTTTTATCACATTTCAAGAGCGATGGACGTTTACACATATAAGGATATTTGTTTCGTTATTCATACACTTAAGACGAGGTAAATCATGATTAGTTCATTGACAAAAGTTCTTTTGCTTCGGACACGGTCATCGAATGTGTGCCCGAAACACGCATATAGTCTTAACACACATGTATGCATGTACATCGAACCGATAAACGAGACGAAATGTTATCATCTAAATCAGAGTTTCTCAACCTTTGTATTATGGCGACACACTATTAAAATATTTCATACTTTGTTACACACAATAATAAAAATAGGAATCATGGATAATATTAAATATTTATTATTAATTGATAATGTAAACTCAAAAATAACAAAGAAAAATATAACATAAAACAGCATTTTAATGAGAAATTTGTGACTGATATTTCTTACATAATGTATCAGTACGTGGCAAAATCTTCGACAAGACTACTTTTAACTCTTCTTCGACATTAATTCATCTTTTTTTTTTTTGTTTTTAATTTCGTTCAATGTAGAAAAAGCTATCTCGCATAAATATGACGTTGAAAATGGCAATAACACGGAATGTGCCAATTTTGTTAATCTCGGATATTCTTTTTTTGTGTAAATTCAAAATTCGCTCATCAAACTTCATTTAAACAGTGCGATCATTTATTAATTCTGCAAGTTCTTCTTTCCCTTTTAATTAAATATTTGAGGTTTCTAAACTAGGATTAAATGGATTCCTCACCCAATCAAACATTTTAAAATTCCAGTGATGAAAAGTTATCCATTAATAAGACTCTTGGCAATTAAATAAGATTTCTTTTTTTTTGAGCTACCAATTGGGCAATACAAAAAATAGCTTCTTGTGCCTTATCAAAGCCAACGTTTATCAATTAGAATTAGAATAATGATAAAATTGATTTAATGTCAATAGCTGATAATCTATTTTTGTTCATCATAGAAATTATATCTAATAATTTTTAATTTTTGTAATAAATGCCAATAATGTTAGTACATTTTGTGTTATTTAATATTAGTACTTCACGCAACACATTTAGAGTTACCCGGCGACACACCGGTTGAGAAACACTGATCTAAAGACTTAGACCGACTAGCCCGTTTTCAAATCGTTCCTTCAATCTGTTTACTTCAAAACCTCTCAAATCCACGTCCAAGTATACCACAGACAGTAGTCCCACACTCTCCAAAATCTCACACTTCCAGATAATACCATATTTCAAAAAACAAACGAACAGTTCTAACCTCGCGATTCGACTGCCGAATCTTCAGCTATCGTACGGCTTCAAATATGAATTGAGTGTTTTCTCAAAGATAGCTGGTTACCGACGAATTTAGCTCTATAGAATCGAACCTACGTAAATATCGAATTGCTAGCCACCACACGGGACGTATAAGAATAAAGTGTTCGTACTCTTTTCACGTCATGAAAACCGTGTGAAGTTCTATCCCCTCCCCCCAAGAAAATAGCTGAGAAAAAAATTAGATATCAATTCTGTTAATTATCGTAATATTCTAAGCTCGTATGATTTTAAATCGTGTCAGTGGCAGTCAAACGGGGGGGGGGATAGATCCCCCATGACCTTTTTTTAAATATAAAAACTATAGTAAACAAATACACAGAAATGAATACTAAAACGAATGTATATACTAATATTAATTAACTAAAAACAATTTAAAAAAATAAAACCAAGTCTAGCATTTTAAATTTAGATAATATTAATACTGCTACAAATGCCGTTTTTGAAATTTTAGATGCGACAGTTAAATTTTCTAATTTTACAAAACCTATTTCTTTATCAAAGGTAAAAAAAAAATAAAAATACAAAATTGGATTACTGCAGGTCTTATAAAGTCAATTCGAAATAGAGATAAGATGTTTAATAAATTAAATCTACAGCTTTTTAAAATTAATCTTCAACACATTTTTTTAATATATAGAAATATCTTAACTAAAATAATTAAATATTCGAAAAATATTTACTTCTATAAAAAGTTTTTAAATGTGATGGTACCACTAAGGCTATTTAGAAAATTATAAATGAATTTCTAAACCAAAAAAATAAACAAATAAATTCAAATATTCAATAAATAATAAGTAAACAAAATAATCAATCATAATACTATCGCAAATTATTTCAACAATTATTTTACTACAGCTGGAGATAATATTGCAAGTATTATGAATGCTAGTAAAAATTAAAATATTTACACTTGTACTAAATCTATACAAACCCACATGCTATTGTTTTTAAATAGGTATATCTAAAAAATAAATAAAAATTCCAAACTCCTCTAAAAAAAATTCAACAATTCAATTCTAAGAATGCTCCACTACGAGTAGAAGTACGAGTATCTAGAAACTTGAAGAATAAAGATATTTATGTTAGACAATAATCATATTTTTAATACAACGGCTACCGATGTGCGTTTAAGAGTAGGCTGTGTCATACTTTTAACTATTCGCTCCATCACTCATGTACTTGTGAATAAATCAAATCAATCAAAAAAAAAAAAAAAAAATATATAATATATTTTATAGAAAATTGCAGAGACGTCAACAAGTATTATCAATAATAAATAAGACTCCTTCACGACGATCCTTTCATTGTTTGATCAACTTTCCCAGCTGTCCGTACTGGTACATAAGTGACAAATGTGGATGAACCATCAACGGTCCATTCTCTCCGTTCGCCTGTAACAAAAACTATTTTATTTACTAAATACAGAAAGTGTATAAGCACTACAATTCATTATAAAACTTTTTCCATCGGTGTGGATTAGTTATAGAAGTTATGAAAATAAAGATCATACAATTTTATTTATACGTATAAAAAACTCTAATTCTTAATAATTTGTACAACAATTATTATTAATTTAAATAATAAAAATATAAAATAATAAAATCTATTGCTATTTTGTCTAAAAGTCGTTTATTCGTTATTATTGTTTTTTAAACATTAACCAGTCTGTGGAGGATCGAATTAACAGATAGAAAAAATAAAAATTAAGTATAATTTTCAAAATAATTTTTTATTTATCTGTAATTTTAGTTATGCACATATTTCGATTAAAAATACAACGATTTTTAAATGTTATCTCTTGCCTTAATTCTTATTAAAAAATTGCATAAAAAAAAAACAGAAAAAGGGTCCGAATGTCGAATGTTTACTAGAACAAACTTCGAAATGTCTTGAAACTGAAGCAAGAAATTCGTGGTGTTTAAATGAACTTGACGGGGGCAATGTGTTATCCAGTGATGGTAAATTTTATGGAAAGAATAACCGCCTGTAGGGCTAGTAGGGAGGAACATATGTCCAATATTGTCTTTCACTGTTAAACCTTAACTTCTCTTGAAGAGAATGATATATTTATTATGTTTTTTTAAAATAAATAAATTAATAGCAGATTTAAATCCTGCTTTCTTTTTGAAACACTCTATACATCGTCATTATCAGTTTATTATCAACTATTAAATGCTAATAGTTTTGTATAGAATACCGTTTAGTTAGTACCTACCATAGCTACAGTGGCGCCCACGTAGATTACCAAGTGATGCAATTGCACTGATTTTTCGTGGGTCCCGGGGCCTACATACATTTGATGGGCCCCATTCTGGTCGCTGAAGTATATACTATAAATGAATAACAGACTATTTATCTGGTTCTTTAAATAGTTGAATACAACGTAAAGAGTTGACAGTGCCAAATATGCAAACAAACATAAATGTATAATAACTAATATAGATAACTATAATAATGTTGATTGTGTTTGCAGTTTGGATCAGGGCTCAGGAAGCCGCTTCAAAATTGATATGCTATTATCTTAATGTTATGTAAATACTATATAGAAATAAATTATGATGAAATAATAGATAAATGTTTTAAACCAAGTCAGCACATATCCAATGCCTTAAATTAAATCACTGATCAAAACAATTATGTATGTTGTAGTATTATCTTTGAACTGTTTAATAATCAATAAGTAATTGTAATTGAAAAACTGCCCTGAGCAATACTAACCGGTGAAGATTTTTTTTGTAAAATTTTAAATTCAAACCACTATCAAAAAATGTTGTACAGGAAGTTGCAATATTTTTAAATTTATTTAAGATAAACATGTATTTGAAAATGCATTTGGAAAAAAAAGTATTTCAATCAAACAAATATGGTCGTATGGATGTGGACTAAAATAAATATGATGGGCGTATAATTATAACTGCACTGGTACATGGAAAACCTGTGGGCGCCACTGCATGGCTATATATGAATTCAAATAATTTTTTTGTTATCTTATGACTATTCTTATAGTTATATTTCTGATGAGATCCCACGACGTGTGAAGTTCGTCTTTATATCGCACTGCAACACGCGCAGCTCGTTTATCTAATCCCACAGCGCGTTGCTCGGTGCGTTTTATAAAATTTAAATAAAACTTTTTTCTTCGTTCTAAATTCATTAGGGTTGGTTTTCGATAGCAAATGTTGTCTAGTTGGTTCATTGGAGACTAAAGAAGTCATTTTTTGAATTTCTTAAATTTTCCCAATAATTGCGGAAAAGTAATGAAAAATTACAAAAAAAAAAGGCAATATTTACTGAGTGCCGACTTCGATTTTTCTTTTTAAATGTAATTCTAAAAGTAATAACTTAAAATTGAACTTGAAATGTTCACTAAATATTTATATAGATTTTCTTTATAGGTGGTGTAAATTTTTAATGATTTTGGATTTTATCGCAGAAACACTAGATTTCATCGAAATATAATTTTCTAACGCTTATAATATTTTTTGCGCTGCTCCGGTAAACTTTTTTAGTTCGCTGGAAAGAGTAACTTCATTATATTACATTTTTAAATTTTATATAAGTATACATATTAGAATATTTATCAACTTTTAATTACCAAAAATAAGTAGATTTCGTGATTCAGAACCAATACACAATTTTCTCATTAAAACAATCTTGTGTAGAGCTTGAATGTAGTAAACAGGATCACAAATTTATATTGAGTATATTTTATTAATAAAAACACTTGTAGAATAAATTATATAGTTAGGTAAAATAAATAATTTAATATTTAAAATATATAAATATCATTATTAATTCTACAAACATGATTCACAATAAAATATAAAAATTATTATTATTATTGTTATATATTACATCTATGACATATTATATAATATCTAAGTTTCAAAAAAATATTTTCTTCCTAATTTTAGCTATTCGAAATTAACAATAATCTTTTTAATATATATTTCATCAGTACGACCGCTATCAATACTTAATACATCTTCCATTGGTCAAACCCAAAGTTCAACCGGAAAGAGGAAACTGTGTTTAACAGACTCTGCATCGGGCACACCAGAATCACATACGTTTTTCTCAGAGACTAAAATATATACTTTTTCGTACTGCACACTTAAGGATTTTGTCATACACCCTTTTCAAACGTTAACAGTAATGAGTAATACGGTTAAAACAGTTAGTATTTTCGATTTTGCTAATGATACTCGTTCATCTTGAAATTTTAAAAATATGTAAAATAATTTAATAAAAAAAATGTAAAATTAAAATCAAATACCTACTATAATAGGCGAGTATAAAGAATAGAATTACAACAGGCATTTAAATTTCGTACTACACACTTAACATTTCGAATTGCACAAAGTGTGTCATACTGCACACAATTTTAGTCCCTGGTTTTTCTGATGCCCAGAGAGGATCCCCTCACTTATCAAACTTGTGGAACTACGATAACCGTTAATACTTAACAGCCCACTGTTTAAAGTTCAATCTAGAACGTGCTGAACATAAGATATCCTACAATCTAAACACCGCATTTGGACCCAATCATGAAAAAACCCAGATATTAATTTTAAAAAACAAGAAACCTAATTATATAACTTATCATTGTATTTAATCACATAAACTCATATCCTGTTTGTAACTAATGGCCTCTGTTGTCGATGTTATTTTTTGAAATGAATGTGTGATAGCCGATACCCGATAGGTTAGTTAAAGCATTAACCAATTATCATTCTTATATGTTCTTATTATTTACCTGTTTTTCGTATACTTGTTTTTCCTCTTCGGGCATGTTATCCCAACTGTTCGAAACCAATTTTCGAACAGTTTCTGTGGGTAATTCAGGCTGTGTCCAGTGGTATAAATTCATTGTTTTTTTCACGTAAATCCTTTTTGCTTCGCTTTGAAACCAGTTGGACGGGAGGCTAACTTTTCTACTGTACGGTTTAATCGTATACTATTTTTATAAAACACAAAGTAAAAATTAGAGAATTGCTTGAATAATTTAAAATAAATATATTATTCATATAAAATTTAATATTTTTGCGTATAATAGTCTATTAGGCTTTTGGTCGATTTCTACATGATTATGATGATTATACTATTGCAAGCATGGGCGTAGCGAGGGTGGGGCAGAGGGGCACTTGCCCCCCCCTCCTGCACCTCAAACTGGATTCTATTTGTTTATACCAAACGTGTAAGTTATACATTAAAATCAAAAATTAAATAAGATATAAGTCTAAAAATAGTTTAGTGAGACCAAATGTTATCTACACGTGTAATCATTTTGACGTTTTATGTATCTGTAGATTATTTGAATTACGAGTTTAACACTAATCCCTTTATGTTTTTACCCCCTCCTCCTAATTCAAATCTCAGCTACGTCCAATATCGCAAGTATGACATAGCTTTTATAATACACTCGTGTACGAGTAAAATATAACATATTTTGAATAAATATTCGTATTATATTAATATTATTACTAATATTATAATTTACAATAATTTTAAATACACTTTTCTTTTACTTTACGCATGTTTGGTCTAACAGGAAAGTTAGCGAAAGCTATAGACCCAGGAACAAAATTATTTGGTAAGCTAAAATGTATCGAGTCTTCAGACTTCTTGTATGGCAAAAGGTTTTGGAGTTGCTCGGGAGTCATATGGGATGACGGGTAGGCCTGCGAAAATTTTATAATTAAAATGATACATTCATTGTGAAAGACGTATAAAAATATGTTATAAGTACAGTCAGTAATTAATTATTTTCCTAATATTTCTAATATATTCAACCCTTATTATTACGTGCAGTGCCGAATCTAAGAAATTTGATGCCCGGGGCTAATAAGAAAGCAACACCATTATGTAAGGAAAATATGAGTATCTAATGCTCATGACTTTTTTTTATTTTTTATAAACTTAAAAGCGATCTTATACGAAGAGCATTTGGAGCATACTCACTTGCTCCTCTCCGTTCGGAGGGTTTCGGCACCGATTATGAGTAATAGATGCATTTTCCCAGAAATAATGCGATAAAAAAAAAACAAAAAATATATTGTAGGCAGGAGTGTTCCCATAGGGTGTACTACATATATGCCTACATTGATGAAAACATTTGTAGAAAATGTTTTTTACCAATGTATTTAGCTAATTTTTTTAATATTTGTATAGATTGACGAGGTAATGTAAAGAGGATATTTATAAAATCTGATTTCAAATTGTTTCATATTATTGACACACTCACCGGCTTTGCTCCTATAAACCGTATGAAAAATATTTTTATTGTATTAAATTTTTATATTTTTGAATTCGATGACTTAGTATACTCTCAAAAAAATTAATGGGAACACCTCTGATTGTAGGTTGAACGTTTGTATAGAGAAGTATGCATTTGTACATAAATCTAGACGCTTTTAATACAAATCAACGTACATATACAGGTTCAACTTTTTATAATTGAAATATGAATCGTGCATCTGATAATTTTCATCACTACAATAATTATGCACTATAATATTTAAATATTAATATATTATACTTATATAAGTTATATTTATAGTGATTAGTGAATAATAACTCAGGAGCGTATTTAGACTTACTTATAGGGAGGGGCTCAGTTTTTTTCGTTTATTCAGGCTCAACATTTACAAAGTCAAATTTTGGTAATATTTAAATCGGGTGAATCCTTAATATTTGTGGTTTTTTTTTTTTTTTAATCTAATGTCGAAACTACTTAGAATCAACTTTTGTGTAGTTATTTTTTAATACCTGTCTGTGTTTTGAAAGTTACGCTTGTGTTATATTTGATTTTTCACTAAGTATGGACCCGACAAAAAGCCTAATGCAGCATTCACAGCCACACGTGATTTGATTTCATTATAAAATGATCCACATTAAAAAAATTTGAAATGTGTATCTCACATGCTCGTATAATCGATTCCTTAAATACGGATTCAAGGAGGGGGCGATCGCCCTCCCTAAAATACGCCTCTGTAATAACTACATAAGTAACAACTACCTCCTAAACCATCGTTGCGTGACGCTAATGTTATTGTGTAGTTGGAATACATTAATAATTAAAATAGAATATTAATAATATGAAAAAAAAAAAATGACAATATATATGTCTGGGTAAGTACATATTTATAACATTGATTTATATTATCAACCCTTGACAGGTAAATTCAACCATAAAATCATAAATAAGTAATAATTCACTAATATACGAATTACGAGGGTATTAGATACCTACAATAATATTTAATTAGGTATAAGTCGTAAAGGTTCTAAAATTGTATAATTTTATAATAAAAAATATTAGATATAGTGATACTACCATTTCTTCGTTCATTTTGAAATTATTCTTAGTTAGAGGTGGTTGTAGAGGTGAACACAATTTATTTGAGGATCAGCACAGACTACAGCGTAAGAAAACTGTCTTTACAAAAATGATGAGGCAGTATTAGTCAATTATTCATAAAACGATTTATATTATACCATAGAGGTCACAATTTCGCAAGACTTGATGACAGTATGGATTTCTATTCACGATTCACCGATTTACAACAGTTTTATGATTTATTATGTTATTCTATACACATATCCATAGACTTACTAACTAGTTAACTGGCTTATGCATTCATCATTGCACTACAACACTATAGTAAAATATGGATACGGATTTGTCACGTTCTATAACAGAGCTGACGTCTGGTGTTGTGTCATATAACATATTGGATAGCATATTTTAATTTAATCGTCAAGATACTAAAATTAAAATTAAGGTACTGAAATTAAAACCAACTCATACCAAGAAGCGTTATTTTATAACTAAAATTTGATATTTAAATCGATTTTTATTTTCATTTTTATTTTATAATTTTTGGTTTAAAATAGATGTAATCCATAATTATTACGAGGCTTGTCCCAAAAGTAAGGTCTCCATTAATATAAAAAATCGAAAAAGTGCTTTATTAAAAAATGTTTACATGGTCATATTATACTACTCATACACTATTTTTCGACATAATAACCGTTCATATCGAGACATTTTTGTAGTCGATCTGGAAGCTTTTGTATGCCAGCGTCATAGAACTCTCCGTCTACTTCTTTTTCCAAGTACTCCATCACTACAGCAGGGACGCCCACAGAAATGTAGCTCAGGTGGGCAAAAAAATTGTAAGTACCTAAATACTTATAGGAAGATTTACTGCTACATATTTCATCTACTCATATTTTGTATTACTATCATTAATAATTTTTTAAAAATCAAAACTCATTTAAGTTTATATAAAATTACATTATTAGTTATTAGTTTTAATATTTATAAGAAAAAAATATAATAAAGTTTAACCAAAAAACAACTTTATTTGATTGAATTCGCATCATATTTTATTATTTTATTCAAAAAGTAATGACAATCTCCTTTTGTTTGAAGCAAATAAATTAATTAAATCATCATTTGTTGATTAAAAAAAAATGTTAGATACTTGTTAGATACAAGGATTGTCGAATAATCACTGAATACCCAAGATCAGCTTTATGTAAAATAACTTCCAATTTTGTAAGGGACGCGAAAATCTCAGGGGGGGCAATGGCCCCCCCCCCATCCGGGCGTCCCTGCACTACAGTCTTCACTTCTTCGTCTGAATTCAGCCTTTTCCCTCCCAAATGCTTCTTTAGGTTGGTGAATAAGTGATAGTCTGATGGGGCATGGTCTGGGCTGTAGGGAGGGGGGGGGGTGCGGGAGAATGTCCCAACCAAACTTATCCAAAAGCGCTTTTGTGTTGCGTGCCACGTGAGGTCGAGCGTTATCGTGCAAAAGACGCACTCCCTTCGTTAGCATTCCAGGTCGTCGGTTTTTAATGGCTTTACGCAATTTTTCAAGCGTTTCACAATACGATGCCGAATTAATGGTGGTCCCTGTTCAGCTCCTTCTTCAGCGTACAGCTCCAAAACCTCGCAGGAACTTTCGATGCGTTGGCGTTTGTGATCCTCTGTAAGCATCTTTGGCAACCATCTTGCACTACACTTTCGGTATCCCAAATCACTTATGATTCTGTGAATCGAGGACTTGGGTATCTGCAACATTTCTTCAAGTTCTCGAACAGTCACTCGTCGATCTTCACGAAGTTCAGACTCAACTTGTTCTTGGAGATTGTCTGAAACAGATGGCCTTCCACTTCTGGCTTTATCATGGATATTCGTCCTCCCATTTGAAAATTCTCTGTACCACTTCCTCACATTTTTAATTGACATAGACGTCGATCCATAAGAGGTACAAAGTTGTCGATGGATGGCCGCAGGCGTCTCGCCACGCGAATGAAAAAAACGGATTATCGTACGAAGCTCACATTGAGCATGGACAGATAAGGAGGCGGACGCTGACGAGGTTAACACAATCATCTCATTCACGTGTTACGAAGGTACTAAACGTCCGATTCATCTAGTTCAAACTTTCATAGACAGATAAGAAGTTAATGGTTATATCAGTGGTACCAACTTTTAAAAATAAAATTTTCACTGGCCGCTAGAAAATTGGAGACCTTACTTTTGGGACAAGCCTCGTACCAATCCATAATTAGTAAAAAGAAATATGAAATATACTCACTGTAGTCTGAAGGTAATTTAATTTACCAATTGCAATCAGGTATCTTGTTTATTTTAGTTATTATTATTTTTTTATGTAATAAGAGTATATTTAAGTAAAATTGTTTTCTGAAGTAATGTCCTAACTTTTATAATAAATAGATTTCTTAATAATTTAATAACCTAAAGAAATTAAATATTTACCTATAATGAAAAAAAAACAAAGTAAAATGAATCGTATAATGTACACTTTTAACTACACTAAGGATCCAACACTGAAAATGAGAATTTGATTTTAAATATAAAATAGTATATTACATGATATAACAATTGTAATAATATATAATTATTAAATAAAAAATATTAAATTTTAAAATGGAAAATAAATTAAATTTGAACACAATAAATAAAACTTATACAATATAATAACATATATTATTTAACAATAACAAAATTTACTTAAAACTTACTATGTATTATAAATATTTATGTATATAATTCTTGGAACATAGATTACTTTTATCAAGAAGGCATCATTGAGATTTAATACACTAGTAATTTCTATCCACTTAAGTCAAACATTTTAATCAACTTACCATTAATTTATTCTAGAATCATTTACGAAATATTATATATATATATATATCCTATATGGGGTATACAAATAATACATTATACATATTTATGAGTGATAGATATTTGTCTGCATTTAAATACATACAAAATGTTTGAAAAGCTCTTAAAAATAATGTTATTTTTTATTTGCCTTCATATAATATACTGATATTCTTTTTATGCTAACATTATTCAGGATCTAGAAACAAATAACAAAGAATTATAAAATTAAAACCCGCTTTGAACGGTTTACATGGTGTCAAATATTAAACTATGTATAAATTAGTTCTAAATAAATGTCCAATATATATATACAATAATTAGAATAAATAAAAAAAATGAATATAGTTTTAATTTAGAGTACTTATATATATATAACTCAAACCTCGATAACTCGAAAAACTTGACAACTCGAATTGTGTTTTATTCCTCTAGAAAATTCTTCCCATATAAATTAATTAGATATCTCAAATATTACATATCTCGAAGTAAATTTACATCTCCCTTCAACTTCGAGTTATTGCAACTCGACTGTATATATATTTTAAATAATTATTAATTATTACTAATATTTATAAATAATTGAATAATTGACAAAAATAATTAGTAAAAGCATTTACTTTAATGCCTGTATAATAATACTTCTGAAAAACAAATAGAAAATTTCATGAACTTCAAAATATGAGAAAATTAACAAAAGAGAATTAATACATATAATTAATTGTTATATTTTAATATCAATACCTATTTTAAAAATATTGCTGTAAAATATTTAAGAAAATATTATTAAACAAAACTTTTATTTGGAATACTGTGATACTAAATTTTTATTTATTAATACTGCATCCATGAATGTAATTTTTGAGTTGAAACAGCAGTGCTTGAAAAAAGGATTTTTTTTTTTTTTAATGCAAAATAATTTTTAATACAATATAAAGTAATGACACTTCTTGAATTCATAAGGATTTTTAAACTACTATAATAGTAATAATAACCTATTTATTTAAACTTATTTGAAAAAACTTAAGACTTATTTCTTAAGTATAAAATATGAATAAGTATTTACTATTAATATTTATTCAGATGTGATATCTAACTGTAATGGAGGTATTAATTTCCATACATGTTGCTTTAATGTTTGACATTGTAAATTCAACTTATATTGACCTGGATAAAAAAATACTACTCCACATTCATGATATAACCTATCTTGTTCATTCACCTAGAAAAAATATACAATTTGAGTACACAACTAATGTCAAATAAATTATAGTTTATCTACTTACTCTAGCTTTATGTGTCTTAGTTGACCCTGTAGTAGCTAATCTATTTCCTAATTGATTGTTTATAGTTCCATTTAGATAGTCTTGGTAAAAATTCAATTCCAGAGTTACATCATCCAAAGGAGACATTAAAGAATTATGCACCCAAATTTGAAACTTTAATTGCTGACCAACAGGAAATTGAGATGTTTCTGATGATGGTTTTTCATCACACTCACTGACGATTTTTTCTTCGTTTAAATTAATCTCTAATAAATTAAAACATTTATAGATTTATTAAAGAATAATTTACTTAAATATATTACCCCAGTAAATAGGTGACGTGCAAACAATATCTAACATCTGAGGACACAACGTGAGACCATGCAATTTTGCAACACCCCATCTGGGAGGCAAGTCATCACATAAGTTAACGGACCACTTTAATAGAACTTGTTCAGCTATATGTTTATTACATTGTGATACCATCTCAGCTTGACCTTCTTCACCATTACTAACCTAAAATTTACTTTTAATTATATTTTACAAATAATTATTTATTGTTTATAAAATAAATTCATCAAACCTGTTCTAAACTATGAATTAAAAATCTTTCAACGGGTACTGGAATTCGGTAAGATTCTTTTTCCTCCATTAATATACTTTTATTTGTAGCATATTTAAGTTCCATTTCTTGGTTAGTAACATTAACAATATCAAGTACCAAATAAAATTGAGAACCTCTAAAATATAATAGCTTAAGTTATATAAACAATTAAAATAATGAAAAAAAAAACATACGTTTCTGCTTGTAGGACATCCCATCCAGTTATTAGCACAGAATTGAAAATATTTACAGATAATAAACATGAAATTATTCTGCAATAACCAGCAGCCATACCTTCACCACCAGCATATTTTACTTTAACATTAAACTCAATAATCTAAGGTAAAACAATTATACTATTAGTTAATATTTTATATAACTATAAATGATGTACATAAAAATATAATCTTTGCAAAGACCATGATTGACCAGATTGGCACGTGGACATGAACCATACACATAATAGAGGAATGAAAGAATTTGGTATTAACAGAAAAGGGCCTAAATTGTCTATAATGTTTAAAAAATAAATGAATAAAATATAATTATAATTTGATCTTTATGTCAAATAAACAAAAAGTAACACATTTAATCCAAATGAAAGTTAGATCTATACGTTTACGTATATATATATATATATATATATATATATATATTATTTTATAGTCATCTAAATTCATTAATAAATAAATAAATAAATAGACTAAAATAATTTAAATACGAAGTAATACTTTTAAAGAAGTAATATCAGTTGGGCTTCTATATCTGGAACAATTTGAGTTCAAGCTACTTTCCCCTGATCTAAAATTTTTTTAATAATGAATTAGTATATAAAAATATTTAAAAACACAATATAAGCTTACCTAAATGAAGAAGCAGTCATTGGAGAAAATCTTTCATTTTTTTGTCTAGGACTAGGTAATGATGGATATGAACTTGGACCTGATGTAGTTAAACTACTTTTCAAACTATTAAATTCTATAGAAATTAAAAAATAATATTGAATACTAATTTATAGTTATAATTAAGTGACCCGGGGAATATAACCCAGGTTAATAATAAATTAAGTATTAACTTTAGTGGCATATTTACATAAGCTGATCAGCCTCTTGATTTTTTTTTTGCTATAATGATCATTTTTAGAAATATTAAAGTGTATGTTGATGAAGTTATTGATGATATAATAAAAAAATATCCAAAAAAAATTTTTGATTCATAAAAAATGTTACAAAATAATAGAGTTTAACACATAAAATAGTTAAAATAAAATAAAACTAACATGTAATAAATAAAAAAGAATAGAAAAGGAAGGAAGTACTATTTTTTACATTATCGTTTGATAGTTACAAAAATTAGTAAATATGCCACTCAACAACAATGCATTACACTTTAAATGATAAACATAGAAATGTTTTAATTTTAAATAATTTCAGTAACCTGCAAGTGGATATTGATTGTTGGAAAGAAAATTTAATGCTCCAGTTAAATGAACATTCAATACAATTTCTGAATTAGGAAAAATTGGTAAATAATCTTGAATATTTTCTTGGTCAACTTGAATGATGCTATTTTTTAATGATTGTTCAATAGTTGACTCAATTGATACTTCTAATAGATTGATTGGAATTGAGCCTACATTTGTTATTTTTAGTTTATAATCCATACTAAATATTAAAAAACAATAATTATACAATACAAATTATATGATTTATAAAATTCTTACATACCTTTCACCAGCAAATAATGTAATTGAAGAAATATTTTCATTTTTTGAGTCTAAAATTAATGCTTCAATAGAAGGCATTGAAGGAATAACTTGAACATTGTATGTAGATTGTGGTACACTGGGAATATTTTTAAGACGACAATTAGATTTAACTCCTAATGTATGGGTTGAATATCCATTTATTTCAATTTCACCAACTTCTTTAGGTATACCAGTTAACACTACATTCTGATAACAACTTTCAGGTGGTAAGTTAATAGAATATGGAATACTTTCAAAAACAGCACCACTAGTTAATAGAAGCTAAAAAATATACTATTTAACTTCATATTTCAATTAAAAGATAAAATAAAATACTTACAATGTTTGTTACTTCTAATTCAAAGTTCAATGGATTACTAAGTTCAAGTATAACTTCACATGGTTCATTTATAACCCAAACATATTCCATTTTATTACTTTTTATTTTATTCTTTTCCATGGATCCAAACTTTAATGGTGTAAATAAAAATGGACCAAAATCTTCCTTGACTTTTACCAATTTATGTGGTCTCAAGTGCATTTTCAAATTTTGAACAGAAAAATTCCTAAAATGAAGCAAAATACAATGAAGTTCATTTTTTAATCTAAAATGTGTTTGCTTACTCAGGTTGTGGAATATTTAAAAGATTTGCTGGTGGTATTACAAGTCCATTATCTAAAACAAGAGGAACAGGAGATCCTTCACACTGGGCTGACAATACAGACAATTGAGTCGCATAAGCACTTCTCTCTATTTTTTCCATCATCCACCACATAGTTTGTAGTAAAAATGTACAATGCCTAGTAGCTAAACTAGCATTTCCAACTCTCTTTGCAGCTAATACTATTTCATTAACTACTTGCCGTTGTAATTCAGGCCATCCAATTTGACCTCCTGGTACATAGTCATTTGGATCCAAAGATAATTTATGTCCCGGCAACATTTGCAGTAATAGCTGATAGCATTGTTCCCAGGACGTGTGTGGATTACTAGCAGAAACATATCGTTTAGAAGCCAACCATCGAAAAAAAGATGCTTTTCGATGAAAACCAATTTCTGAATATAATTCAGCCAATTTCATTAGGCGTTGTATCTAAACATTAATTTAAAATGTATGTAAAAAAAATAATATGAAAAATGAATAGGCTATTACTTTTTCCTCGTCAGTCAAAGTTAAGTTTATAGGCAATACATTTTGTAAAAAATAATGAACATGTATAAAATGATGATGAACAACTGCTATTCGAGCAGCTTTCAGACTTCCTTCAGTTAAAATAACTCCAGCATTTATATACTAGAATATAAACAAATACATCAAAAATTAATACACCAAAATACTTTAATGAACATAAAGCAATTTGAACAAAACTTAATATTTTTACAAAATGTTTTAAATTTGAATAACATATTTCCATGTTCTATAATTTAAAAATAAATAATTAACTTACTATTTAACCAAATACCCAAATACATTTTTAGTTAAATTTATAATAATATAAAGATTAATAGTTACATTTTATATAGAAAATGAAAAAATAATATCAAGCTCTTTATTAAATGTAGACTATGCATGTCTTTATATATATGTCACTATAAAATCTCTAATCACACAGATTAAGTACAATTAATTATGTAAATTTTATATTAAAATTTAAAACTTAAATTAATTTATTATAAAGGCTCAGAACTTTATGCGCTAAAAAGTACTTAAATATGTGTATACATATGCGTTAAAAAACATCATAATATGCGGTATAAAATTCAGTAAAATTTGTAAAACATGCAGTTTATTGAATAAAATACAATTTACATAAACTGGTCACATGGGAAAAATAATAAATATAAAATTGAATACTGAACACTTGTGTATTATTGTGTCTTCCTGTAAGACAAAATAAACAATCTTTATCAAACTTTAATTATCTTGAGTATAAATGTATAAATACTAATAAAGACTATTTTATATTATGGTATTATGATAATGCTATGGTATATTTTGATAAAAATTAATTCTTCGACGATCACTATTATGATTTCTCAGTACAATAGATATTATAATTTCATTGTTAAGTGCAATAGGAGTAAAAATAAAATAGCTATTAATGAATTAATTTCTTCAAATAATATAAAATGTAGAATTTTGGTTGTCATATATCTAATATTTTTTATTGAACTATAAATTTGTGAGAAAAAAAATTGTTTTGTTAAATCTATGAAATATGCATATAATAGTTCTAAAACCTAAAATATACTAATTCCTATAAAAAATAACGAAATATGCAAAATTATGCAATAAAAATGTTTATGTTTGAAATCTGCGTATAAAGATCAAATTTGTATTGAACTACAATTTCTATATGCACTTTCTTAACATATATGCAAATGCTTAAAGTTCGAGCCTTGCTTATTAATATGTAAAATAATTTCAGAATTTTTTTTTTTTTTTAATTTACCTTACTATAATGCTTAAGACCTTCTCCATAATTTTTATAAATATCATCAATATTAAGCAAATTCTGAGGCATTGTTGATCTAATGGCATTATCATCTAATGATGCAAATCCAGAATTAGTAGATATGGGTCTGAATCTAAAAATTCATTTCCCATAATAATATTGATTAATATTTCAATAAATAAAAAAATAGATACTTGAATCTTGAATGACGTTCTTGAAGTGAAGCATTTCTTTGAAAGTTAGATTTAGTTAATTGATTTTGAGGTTCTAATATCATCAAAGATGTTGCACATAATCCTTCCAAACAACCTTTGAATAAAACAATATTGTTTATCTATTTTTTATAATCACTTTGTTTTTTTTTTTAAACCCACTATACATTTGAAACTTGTAAATACCGTGCTGCTAATTTGGTATGCACTCTCCTGACAAGTTTCTGATTCGGTATGTGCTCCACAATTTATATAGATTGTTTTGACTGGTTTTTATTTTATATTTATATTTTTTATATTTTTTTATATTATTTATGATTTCGTTTTTGTTTTACCGAAATGTGTCTGAGTTTTATCAAAAACGATTTCTATTCACAATTTCAATGTCTAACATGGCGAGAAAAAAGTCTAGACCATATTGATGGTAAAGTTGCCAGCAATAGTGATGAAGATGGGACTGCAAATGATTATGAAGAACACCCCTCATTTTCTTCAATATTTTAATTTTCACATCCATGACCTCTCGCTGTTATGAATGTGGACTCCTCTATTTGCAGATAATTAGAGATTATCAACATTATTAACAGTTGAAAGAAATATCCAACATATTACATAAAACCAAGACAGATAACACATATACAGTAATTGCAATCCAATATCTGGGTACTGAATATAGACCAAGTGTAAAACACCAAAACCGGTAGAGTGCATACCAAATTAGCACTAATACCGTGAGGTAGTACTTCAAATGGCACATGTTAAATTAACTTTAGATTTTGAAATAAATAATAGATTACCTCCTAACCAAAGCCAATCATTACAAGATCGAAGTGTATCTATGGCAGTTTGGTAAAAATTAAGAGCATCATGTAAAAAACCAGTTTGTAAGTTCAGGTCAGCCAAATGTTTAGTTATACGTCCCATGCATCGTTTTTTATTTGCTCTGGACTCCATATCCAAACCAATTATATTACGTTTTTCAAATGGAGCAATTAGCAAGGTAGCTTTATCCAACTAAAAAACAATTTTTATTATTTTTTTTAGCAGTAACAATGAAAATATCTATTAACTTTATCCATACTTTTTCTTTTGATTTTTCCAGACGCTTAGCATCTAATACCCAAAACAAAGACGATAAAAATTCGTTTAAATGCATTTCAATTGAAGGATTAGGATCACCTTCACTAGCATAATATACATCTCTTGATTTAAAATTTGATGGTGTACTTAGTTCTGGACAATTTGAAGCATTTACACCAAATATAATACACCGCGAATCAAATAAGGTACTCTGATACTTAACTTTTAAAGTCTCATGTAATCTACATATTTCATTTAGCTCAATTTGAAGCTTACATTTGGCTAAAAAAATTAAATATAAAAAAAAATAATATATATATAAATATTTGATAAAAATAACACTTACAAATAGTAATAAGACCTAATAGACGTCTGTGAGTTTGAAAATCACCCCAGTCATTATTACCAACTGGATAGTCTTTAATATATCTAGCTTGAACACACCGTTCTGTACCGGTTCCATCCACAACGCGTAATTGATTGATACGACTAATACGTTCAAATAAACGATTGAAGTTTTTTGATGATAATTCTTCACCTTATAACAATAAAAAAATAATAAATAAAATATAAGTAGAATTTCATAGAGTATAAAAAACACATGTAATATTTACCCAGGTGTTTCACCAATATGAGTAGAGTACCATGATCATAAACAGTCATTTCATAGTCTGGGTGAGACATGTTTGGGTCTTGTGTTGGAGTCGACAGAATGGCACTAACTGATGATCGCATTGATTCCTGAAAATGATTAAGTAAAAATAATATTGATACAATTTTTAATAGTAACACTAACCTAGTTTTGAATCTACTTTTAAATTAAAAAAATTGTAACCAGTAAGTACTATACAAATTAATTTAAACAACAAATTTAATATAGTTTAAGACATAAATAATGCATAATCAATTTATTTCTTAAGAAAAACGAAAACAATAGTAGTGACAATCTAAAAAATTCATTTTAGTACTACTCTTAATAGGTATTACATATTGTATTTCAATTTGAAATTATGTAGTTGATAAACTCTTCAACTGCAAGTGATAAGCGATAGCTGATAATGTAATGACGTGCTGTATAGCTGATAATATTGTTTGAATTTGTATTTGATAATAGTGGGATTTCCATGGTTCCCCACCCTAAAAATAGCACATTCTCAACTTGAATGTTTGTCGGTTATGTTAATTTGTAGATATATTCGAAACGTCATGTCTTCCAGCAATCATTTCGTTGTTACAGTTAACCATGTTTTCAAATTTTTTTTTTTTTTCGTATCTACCACCTAAGTTTACGTCAAGTAATATAAGACACTAATTATTTGTGTATTAAAATCATAATTACTAATACAGCATTACATATTCAGAGTCGATGTGTGCACGATGATCCTCCATGATGAATTCCAGCAAAAGCTATACGACCGTGCGGCGTCGTTGTTTCTAAACTTTCCGTTCCATTTTCTCAATGAAATTTCCAAAGAGAACTTCGAACGGTCATGTAACTCTCGCAAAACGGTATTTTATTACTCAAAACGTTTCCCCAACATGTGTACGAGCTCATCGTTTTACGATGATATTATGAACATCGCTGAAATACATGTTAATTATTACCGTAAGTGCCAAAAGCTGCTTCAATAATTAATTAAAATAATAATTAATTAATTTTCTATTATTTGCGTAAGTTGCGTAATTCAAAAAGTTAAATCATGTCCCGGTTGCTTAAATAATGCTTAAATGCATGGTTAACTAGACTATTGATGCATTTCACAAGTTATATTTAACCATGTAATCCTATGGCAGTTCCTTACGGTACTGTGTGGTAGTTAATACTAGTAGTAGGACTAATGCTATGAAATAGTAGCTGTCCTGTGATTTATGTTATATTAGATGTTGGATGATTACCTACAGGAAAATCGTATCTAGGATTGTATAGTGTTTCTATATTGTAGTTTACAAAAGAATGTAAGTAATAGTTAAGAATATATGTTTCATGATGGACTTAAATAATTTTGTTTTTCTGTAAAAGATTTTCTAGTATTTCATATTAATGCAGATTTCTACTAAAATATTTTTTTTTTTTTTTTTTTTATAGGAGAAAATTTATACTTAAATTAAAAATAAGAATATTTGCATTAAAAAAATGAATATTTATCAATATAAAGTAGTAATCACTATTTTCTAAATACAATATCCTCCAAATTTATTGTGATTTGAAATTATATTTTATTTGCAACTAAACATATCTATTTATTTAACAAACTACATTGTAAGTTTTTATCTGACGAAGCCAGGGCGGTTTCAAGATATTTGCTACCTTAAACAAAATTGTTGTGAAACACCTTCATTGTACTATTAACTGATTTATAAACAATGAAGCTTATGAAAAATGTGTGTTTAAGGAATTGAGTACATTTCAGTTCAAAAATAAACAAGGAATTCAAGTATTGTATTCTGACATCATGGAGTAATCAATCACCTGCACTTCTTATACAACTACTGCTGACTAAAACAAAAATTATAAGTCATTACTATAATCTACAAATTAAAAATATTCAATATTTTTTACCACTTTATACCATAATTAAAGTCTATTATTTATATTTTGTGATGTCTAAATTTAGCTGTTCTCAAAAAATCCTGGACACAACTTATTTCATATTACTTAAATATAGGTCTAAATACATACTTAAAATTTTGATTGGTACCTAAATATTTTTCACTTTATTACTATAATTAAAGTGCTTAGGTCATATTATACAAATTAAGGTGATTTTTTCATTATATACAATATCATTCCTTGCTTGTGTATCTCAAATAAACAATCAATAAAAATGTTATATTGTTATATTATAATAGTTTCGTTATTTTAATCAACAGAATCCCGTTGGTTTGATTTTGGTCAACTTTATTCAGAACCATCTTTCAATGAATCTACAGTTCCATGGGTCAATCGTCCTGTTTTACAGCCAATAATCTCACCAAGTACAATTGTTCATAGTGTAAATTATAATTACAATAATAATCAGAAAAATTTTACAAATAATTCATCTTTAAAAGTTCAATTACCTAATAAAGTAGTTACTATTCTAGTTCCAACACCTAGTTCAGTTGAATCATTTTCAGAATCTACTTCACCATTTGATTCTGAAGAGTCTATTACACCAATTAAAACAACAACTAAAAATAATAATGGGTTTAAAAAGTTATCTGAAGAAAATAATAATAAAATAGATATCATGGAGGATGATATTCAAAATGGAAGTATTTTCTCTGATAGTTCTAGGTCTGATATAAGTGATGAAAAAGCTATATCATATGCAGAAATCATCAAATATCCTAAATCTTCAAAACCAAAACAATCTGCAAAAAGTAAACTTAATATTATTGAAGAATCTAAAAGAAGAGAACCAATTAAATTTAATAGAATTCCACCATCTAAGAAGGTATCAATTAAGCTGCCAGACGCTCCATTTCTACCAAATAATCAACATTGTGCATTTTGTAAAAACAATGGAGAAGAAGAATCAGTTTACAGAACACATTTTGTTAAGGATGAATTAGGAAATGTAAGTTGTCCATTTCTATCAAGGTATACATGTCCACATTGCAAAGCAACTGGAACTAAAGCACATACTATTAGTAGATGCCCATTAAGTAATAAAAATAGAATTAATAAATTCCATAAACAACAGTTATAAACATAAGTTCAGTGTTGACATTATTTTATTGTTTTAATATGTTATATATTTTTTAAATATTTTATGATTAATTTATTGTTTCTTTTATCTATTGGAGTAAACATAATTTTTAAAATTTAAATAATTTCATGAACTTGATATTTTTTACATTTTATTCTTTTAGATTTCATTGCAAATATACTACTATTAATTTAAGACAATTTTGTTCTTGTTTAAATCAAGTTTATATACTGTTATATTTTTTAAGATTTAAATGTTTAATATAATTTTATTTAAAGAATAAGGGAGATTATAAATAAAAGGCTATATTAATGCTTTGTTAATAAAATGTTTTAAATTTCTTTTAAGTTATCCTTAATCAAAAATAAATTCTAGTTTTAAGCTGTTTACATAGAAGTTCTATTGTTATTTCTCTGACATATTTCTTAGGTTTACTTTTTTTAATTTAAAAAAATTGTGTAACATTATTTCTTTTAGTTATAATTTTAGTTATATTTTTAAATACTTGAAAATATATTCAGAAAAATTACACTTAAATGAAGAAACATTTAAAGATGAATAATTAATTTTTTTTTTAAAAAAAAAACAGTTAGTATGTAGTTCATAATACTTAGTCACTTATTGCTGACTATATATTTTAGAAGTGTGTATGATCAAATTATAATTTCGAAAATATTGTCTTACATGATCAATAAAAAGTATGAATTTTAAAGTATGAGTGAGAATTATGTGTTTAAAGTTGAATAGTTCTAGTATAGTAGGTTGGATTGATTTAACTCTAGAAAAATTGTTTGTAAAAAAGCAAGATATCAAGAATAAAATTTAGATTGAAAAAGTACAAGAAGGATTAAATATATTATGTGATTAAAAAAAAAAAAAAAAAAAAAACTATGAATTAAAATGTTGAATACTGAATAATAAAACAGGACTGATGATGATTGTAGTACAGGATGGGGCACTGAAACGACCGACCTACTAAGATAAATTTTCTCAGTAGTAATTAAATTAAGAATATTTACTAAATATTAGTTGAAAGATAACATGCCATTTAGTAAACATGGAACAGTGGCGTGGTGAGCAATGTGTTTATGCGATAAAATCGTTTTACAAAAATAATGAGTTATTTAGCTACTGAGTATAGTACACATTTCAAATGGTATACTTTATTTTGAAAGTTATAATATTTACATATTAATTATAATTAATTTATATTTTCAAGAGCTTGTAATTTTTTTTTTTTTTTTCATTAAATCGCTGTAAATGGGTTTTAGTTGGTTAGTATATGTTGTCAGATACCGCGAGTAAATTGAATTTTTCAGATATTGTAGAATTATTTCCTTTCGTGTAAACAGCAACTTTCTTCGTAATGTTTTCCCGCCACTCGTCAGTTTTATTTAATTCATATTTTTATTTTATGACATCTACATGCTGGTATATAAAATACTATTTTTTCTCTGACTTGATCAAATATAGGAATAATACTTCTCATATAAATAACCAATATATTTTAAGTGAATACGATTTGGCACATATTTTAATCGTAAATTATGATACGACTTTAAGCAACCAGTGTATACAAAATGCTACACATTTATTAAATCCTTCAAAAAATCTTTTGTCATGATAATTTTTTTCAAATCGTAATATGGTTCGCTTTCTGTATCTATTCACAATTTATAAAATCAAATCATATCAAATAATCAAAATAATAATAAAAAAAAATAATAAAAATAATAATAAATAATCATAATCAAATCATATTCTAGTTATACATGTTAAAATGGAATTATTGAATAAGATGTAAATAACTTTATTTTATTTAATTTGCCTTTGTTCGCCATTACTGCAAAACTTTTATGTTATTGATAATTATAATATTTTATCGCTACAGAAATTAATTCAGTCTTAGTTTTTGTTTTTAATAAGTGTTTATATAGCGCAATGTAAGCATCTACTGTGTAAAATAATATACCGGCACAAATCCTTGCGCACCAGTCACGCCACGCGTATACGTACGATCAGTGGCATAGTCAGGAATTATTCAAGAGGAGGGTTTATATTTTTGCACTAAAATATATAGTCCCGGTAAAACTGTAAATGGTCCACCGAGCTGTAAGTAAATTGAATAATACATCTTTGATTAGACGAATAATTATAACCTATTTGTAAACGTTATTATTATTGTACAGAGTACACATTTATTAACTTTATATAGATACAATGGTAAAAGTATAAAAAAAAAACTTTATTCAATTGTAGTATAAGTATTAGTATGAATTAAAAATATTTATAAAATATTAGCATTTACATTCTAAGTTAGGTATAATGTATAAGCAGGGTCGGCGTAAGGCTAAATGACGCCCGAGGCCAAAATGCCAACTGGTGCCTTTTTCATACTACCCTTAATATCATTATACTTAGAAAAAATGTTATCGTCTAATTTTTAGTAACGAGTCACGGCGGCTCGACGCGATCCCGATTGAACGATAATAAATATTTGGGAATTATAGCAACATTACGATAAAACATTCTATGCTAAACCATAGTAAATATACTTAAAATACTTAAAATATACTTATGTTATTTTAATATGTGGCTAAACAAAATAACCATAACTATTATCAATATTTCAATATAAAGTTATAGGTATTTTACATTAAAAAATAATAATATTACTGACATATGTGTAAAATTGTAAAAAACAATTTTGGCGCCCTAGGCGATCGCCTGAGTCGCCTTACCCTTACACCGGCCCTGTATATAAATTATAGCAATCTTATTTTTCTTGAGATTTTAGCAAAGTTATCAAGAACTTAATTTGTAGTTGAAATTATTTCACGATGTATATTTACTAATGCTAAACTATTTATTCGATTTTCTCCAGTAGTATTTCTGTGGTATGTTCTAAGTCTTTTTAAGGTAGGAAAATTACCTTTCACTGCTTGCTGTAGTTACGGGAAATGTAGCTAGTATTTGCAGAAGTTTATAAGTTGATGGAAAAATGAGTGGGTTATATGTTAGAAGAGCATCCAAGCATTTTTTGGTTTTTCTGCTCCAACAAACTTTTGTGTCAATGTTAATACGTCTCCAATCAATGAATTAGGACTACATTTTAAATTTTCACAATAATTTTTTGCCAAACTTATAATGGTTTTTTCTTTATTTGGCAAGAGACACCAAAAATTGGCGATCAGATATTTATGTACAATGAATCTATCATGAAGTTGTCTAATAATGTTATTTAAAAATGGAATGAACAATGATATTTTATAGTAATCGTTTGGGCAGGTAGTTTTTACATTAAACTGTTTTTTTCTGTGTTTGTAACATGAGGTAAAGTTATTTCAATATCAAGTGATGTACATTTTTCTTTCACTTCCATGAATATTTTTTCAAATTCTTCATTAGCATTATTTTTGATATTTTTTAACACATTAGAAAAATTATCTGCCAATAACATGGCTTCAACTAAATCAATATTTTGATATTGAAGAAGTTTACTGAGAGGTAAACTTATACTAAATACTTTTGCTAGTAGATATGTTGCTGAAATAAATTCCGGTTGTTTAATAGCACACAAGAGTTGATAAGCTCCTGATGACGAATCTTTGTCTGGCCACATAGAAATGGAAAATTCATCAACAACTGTGTCAAATAATTCCATAAAAGTAATTATGGAGTCATGCCGATTGAACCATCTTGTTGGACAAAGTAATTTTAATTTTGTAATCTGAGATCCAGGACAAACACGTTTTATTGATTCTAACATTACGTTTTGTTGTTTATGGTATTTAAAAAACACGCATACTTTTTGTATATTGCCAGTACAGTTTCGTATGGATTGAATATTACATGTATCAGATATTGCTAAATTTAAATAATGTGAGGTGCAATGAATGTAGTGAGCGAGTGCATATTTTTTATAATAGTTTGTTCTTTTATTTTTTGAATATGTATAGTAGGTATCCATAATAATTACTAACTAGTAAAAACTTAACAGTTAACAGACGAGAGGGTCGCGACAGCAACGTGAGCTAGTTTTTCGGAGCAGTCATCATGACTGATATTAATGATAGTTTCATTATGATCCTGTGTTTGTTATCATTAAATATAATATAAAATCTATAAATAAATACAATACAAAATACATAGTAAAATTATTACTTATTAGGTATTTTATCAATTTAAAATAACCTTCCTTATGTAATATGTTTTATATTATTAGTTAAGAATATTATATCAGGTGCGACGAGAGGGGGGAGGCAGCTGGGGCTGTAGGCCAAGGACCCGGGCTTCAAAAAGAGCCCGGGGCCTGAGCAAGTTCACTATGTCTTGATCATTGTGTCGAGCTATTTATGGATCACTAACATGAATTGTGCTAATAACCTACCCAAATAATTATAGCGTATGCTGTATAGTTATGTAGTGATCGTTGTGCAGAACACTATGATCGGTACCACATTAATTATTTACCGACGTCGCACGTTCGTTGTTATCTTGAGACGTAATGGTGAGAGAGATAGGTAATTTGAATAATTAAACACTTGTATTTTAACACTCGTAAAAATTATTGTTTTTATTAATTTACTATAAGAAAAATAACAAACAATTAAAACAAAATTAAAGGTTAGTTTATTTTGGGTAAAGAATTATGTACTGGCGGTATTGTGACTGTAACAATGTCCACGACGAGTAATAATTTATTTAAAAGGATAATGACCAGTCTAATACTAAATACTAAAAAAAAAATAAAAAAAATAAAAAAAAAAGATACCTGTATTTAAATCTGTCAAAGTGGTGTAATTCTAATATTACTTCCTTCCACTGATAATGTAATAATTTAGCATTATCATGTTAAGAGGTGAAAAACTACTTGTTGTTTTCACCTTTGCCCTGAATGTATTTCGCGTAACATCTTTTTTAATACTTATTTTTTGTTTTTCAATCGGAAGATTAGTTTTTAACAAATGTTTTACAATGAATGGCTTCTCTATTTTTCTCTATCACTCGCCATATTCTTAAGTTCCCTGTAGGAAGTGACTCGTGCACTCTGCATTATTTGGCTAATGTATCTTGTATTTTTAATACTTTAACTATTTTATTTCACATTATTTATATAACATATAATTTTACATAACATTAAATTATTAGATCATGCTGATCATTGGGCTTACTACAGTTATAAAAAGTCTACAATAAAATGAACACTACATTATTGATCTAAAATGTAGAAAAATAACTTTTTCAAAAAAGACCCATAGGCTATAAATAATTATTTTCTTTAGTCTGTGGAATAACCATGACTGCGATTATATTATCTCTTTAGTCAGGGGTGGATAGGCCCATAATGAAAAAGGGATTTTTCCTGTGTGCTCTCGCCTTATATTATGTTGGTGGCCCCTTCGATACTATACATTTTTTCATGGTAATTTATTATTATTTTTTTTTATTATTAAATTAGGATGAGTAAATATAATAAAAATTATGAATTATTATTATTGACACGACTCAAGATGTTTCAGTAACTGATCAGTGTTCGGTAATTATTCGCTACGTCAGTGGTACTACTATTCATGAAAGATTAGTCGGTATCGTCAAATGTACCTCTAGTAAAGAAACTGATTTAGTTGAATTAATTTTGAAAGTCTTCAATAGTATGAATTTGGATCCCAAAAAATGTGTTGGTAATGCTACAGATGGAGCAACAAATATGCGGGGGAAGTATCGTGGATTTTCTGCTCAGCCAAGTAATGTGGTACAAAAACAAATCCCTATATGGCGCTATGTTCATATATTGAACTTGGTAATTGGTGATGTAACGAATACAATTCGAGTCCATTAATTTATTTGAAGCACTTAATGGATATGCATATTTTATTAAAGAATCGCATACGCGTATGGATGTGTGGACTACTAAGAAAAAATATAAATGAATATGCTCTATAGGAAAGATAAGATGGTGGTCTAAAGATTGTGCTTTAACCAAAGTTTTTGATCATTTTAACTGTCCAAAATCTGGTATATTTGTGGAACTTTTAACTACTTATACATTAATTGAAATTAAAAATAGTCATTCTATAACAGCTGATGTTCAATACAAAGCAATAGGTCTTATAGAAGGATTATGCAAATATGAAACTATTTTAACAGCTCAAATTTATTTACGCAGTTTTCAAAAAACTACTCTACATTCTAAGTATTTAAAAGGGTATGGAGTAAATATGATGATATCTTAAAAAGTAGTTCAGGCAACACTTAATGAGCTGAAAATTATGGTACGTGACTTTTCAAGCACCAAGGAAGTAACAGAAAATTTTATTGAATGGGCGAATAATAAATTAGAAGTTGAAGAGAGTGAAGTAAAAGTTAATGATGGTTTCAACAAACTCGAAAAAGAAAAAGAACCAGGCAATTTTCCTATGAATCAGTCGATGATCCACTAGATGACCGTCTGCGTGCATTTGAAATCAATGTTTATAATTTAAATTTGATACAATAATACATGCTGGTAAAGTTTGGTAACGATATTGTATTTATAGATTCAATACATGGAACAAATTTATATGATTTTCATTTAACTATTCTTCTTGTAGTTGACGAGTTTGGGAATGGAATTCCAGTAGCTTTTTGTATATCAAATAAAAAAGATACTGCTACTTGGATTACATTTTTTGAAAAACTACGTGATCGCAGTATATATTCTTCTCTAGCCAAAAGTTTTTATGTCAGATATTCATGATTCGTTTTATAATGCATGGAGAATAGTCATAAAACCTGCTAAGATGAGGCTATTATGTACATGGTATGTGGATAGAGCTTGGAGAACAAACCTATAAGAGAAAATTAAAATTCAAGAAAAGAAAGCCTTAGTATATAAAGGACTAAGAGTTATATTACTAGACTCAAATATCGACCGATTTGTTGAACTTATGGATGGTTATGGTTAAATAAATATTTTGTATATAAATTCAACATGTATGAGATTTTTATTTTCATAATCAACCCAACAAATAATTATAACTATATTTCCTATGATAAATTAAAAAAGAACAAGTCTTAATATAAAATTTTACAATTATAATTCTGTTATTATTACAATGTACAATTTGTATTATACATATACTGACTATATATATATATATATATATACACAATTACAACTAATCTCGCTTTAATTTTAAATTTTATTTTTTTTATTTTCTAATAGTCTTGCCTAAATTTTTTTTTGTTTACTTTATCATGTCGAAGAGCATACTTTAATCTCGCCCAAAAATTAGGATCTCCCCATTCTATATAAGTATGTAAAGACACATATTTCTGAAATTTCGGATCCAAATCTTTCACTGTCAAATTCTCGAAAAATATGATTATATTTTTTTTTCGTTCGTTTACAGTATTTATAAAAGCGGTTTCGAATTCCATACGACACCAATCACTCTCTAAAAAATTTGGCGTCACCAAAATAATAGTTCTATATGATTCTTGAATTGAGCGAATAATTTGATCAGGAATTAATTCTCCAACTTCCCAGTCTCTGTCGTGAACACAAAGTTTAAACGATTGAGCATCTGTTTCCAAATTTGGTATTATATCCTTTTTGACAATATCTCGATCTGCATGAGCAAAACTGACAAATGCACTGTATTTTTTATAGTATCTATGTTTGTCAGGAAATATCGTGGGTAAATAATGATGTAACTGTACAGCGATTTCTGTTTTATATAATGCTAAAATTAAACCTAACCCAATTGCAACAAAGACTAAAAAGATAATCATAATTATCATAAAATAATGGCTTTGACATATATCATCTAAATATAGGGATTCTAGCTTCTTCGATGAGTCAGAGGAGCATGTTACGTTGTCTGAATCATAAATCTATAATAAAAATACGAAATATAATAGTTATCTGGATGATAGGCAACTAAACATTCACCTCAACTAAAATGTACGGTGAGGTGAATGCTTGTGCCTACCCTACAATTTTATTCATTTAAATATTATATAAAAATAAGTTTTACTTTTTTTGAATATTTATGAATAAAGTCAATTGTACTCTTTCCCTTACAATCACACGTCCATGGATTACCGCTCATTGTTAAGAGGTTTAGGTTAGCTGATATATTGTGATTTATATCACTAATATCCACTAAATTATTATGTTCCAAACGTAATTCCTAAATTAACATAAATTTAAAAAAAAATTTAATTTTATGAAAATAATTATTTTCATTGAAACCAGTGACGTTACTTACTCCTGGTAGTTTAATTGAACAGCCTAGAAAATTGGAACATTAAAAAATAATATAAAAACCAAAATTAAGTAAAATAAAATAAATTATTTTTTATATTACTTGGCGAATGTTTTCTATTCGAAATGATATATTTATTCATAGATACTTAAAAAAAATGTTTGAGTATTTGAAAGTGTGGTAAATTGGAAGGGGTAGATAGATCAATCTAAATATTTGTACAGGTAGTTTCAATTTCAATTAGCAACACTGATTGATATATACTATAAAAAATGAATGAATATTGTGAAAAGTAAATTATTTTTCGATCCTTAATGGACTTCTTTTGAAACAAAAATGGATAACCATACATAAAATATCTAATGAACTCAAAGTCTTATAGTAGCTTAATATTACTACTATTATAGAAAAGTTAACTTTTACAATATAAATAAATTCATAGTATAAATTTATATAATAAGAAAAAGATTTTTATCAACTTACCCTAAGACTCACAGGTAACTGCGTCATATGTATAACTTTCAACTTGTTATAGCTCACATCTAACTTTCCAATGGTAAGGTTTTCGTAGTTTGGTAGTTTGACGATTAAATTATTTCTTAAATTGACCTCTGTATAGTTAATATTTTTACTGGAAATTATTTTTTCTGGTGCCGATGTTAAATTCTTGTTAGAACAGTCCATTATTGCAGAATTATCAGAAGGTCGGTAAGCACATATACAGTCTGTACAGTTAGACTTATTTGAATCACGAAATAATTTCCAATCATAGGTTAATCTATCTATATTAATATTTGCAAATTCCAAACCAACACCGTCATCACAAATCATATTGTGTTCAATTTGCAAGTACTTGTAAACTGATTTTGGCATTCTATTGTGAATGAATCTTCCAAATTGATAGTTACGACCATCACATATAAATTGTTCACTAGACACAGTTATTTTCCTAGGATTTTCTTGTTTAGGTTGTACTCTGGCAAATATTTCTAAATGTGATAAATCAATTAATCGTATAGGATTAAAAGTAAAATCGACTGTTAATTGGCTCCCTAAAAATTGAATATCATCTATTCTAATAACATTCAAGCTATTTCCTGAAAAATTTAAATTTTTTAACTTTACTAAATTTAACCAATCATATTGAATCTCAGTTATGTTATTATATGATAAATCTATATATTCAATAGAACTCAAATATTCAAATGAAAATAAAGAATTTTTCGAATATAGGCTGCTGATATTATTCTGACCTAATTTTAAAGATTTTAAAATTGGGTTATTTAAAATTGCCTGATCAATAAAGATTAAATTGTTTTTAGTTAGATCAAGCGCGACCAAATTGGGTAGGAAACTAAACCCATAGTTATTTATTTGAAGTATTAAATTATTCGACAAATTTAACTCTTCCAAATTCTTTAATGGTTTTAGAAACTCGCTTTTTATTTCTTTGATCTGATTTTTAGACAAATCTAATACTTTCATTTTCGAAGAATCTTGAAAAAATGTCTCTGGAATTTCAGTTAAATGGTTTGAAGCTAAAAATAATTCTGTAATATTAGGTGAATTCCAAATCATATCTTCAGGTACCTTATTTATATTTAAGTCAACAAGGTGAACTGATTGCAATTGGTTTAAACTTGATAAGAATCTTCTAGGTACAGTAAAATGGCCATAGTTGAATCTAATTTTCTGCAATGAAGTATTTTGAAATGGTTGATCAGGCATGGTTGTTAAATTGAAATTTTTGTTTAATGATAATCGAAGAAGGTTATTGAGATCCATTTCAATTGATATCAGTCTATTGTTACTTAAATCCAGAGTTTTTAGACTTTGAACATTTAAGCTCCATGTTTTTAAATCATTTGAGTCCAAAAGCAAAGCTTTCAATGAAATACCATAAAATAAATCCTCATCTATTCTGGATATCTTGTTTCCTCCTAAATCCAAAATTACTAATTGAGTAAGATATTTGAACACATCACGAGGTAATTCATCAATATCATTGTGTCTAAGATATAACTCAGTTAAATTTGGAATTCCTTGAAACGACTCATTGGTTAATATTAATTTTTCAATTGTATTACTTATTTCTAATATTGTCACGTAATCTAAATTTGATAAGTAATAACTTTGTAACCTATCAGTGAACGTCACCCATGACAAGGTCAAATTTTTTTTAATATCATTGATACCAAGTGTTGAGATGGTTTGTTTAATTCCTATGTCGAACAAAAAGCAATCTGAGTAAGATAATTCCGTAATATTAATTTTATCAAAAGATTTTTCCCACTGAGTTTGTTCAGAATTACAATCTATATGAATAGTTGATTTCCCCGAATTGGCTTTCACAGTTGATGAGTTACATATTACATTTATTTCTTTATCATTTTCATCACAAGAGCATTTTTCTGTCTTTAAACAGGACCAATTTGATAATACTTGGCTTACGAAGAGTTGGCACATAACAATGTTGATTAATAACCAGTTCATTCTGAAAAAATATTTCAAGTGTCATGTTAAATTTTTAAGTCGTGTTCTGGGATATTATAATAAAGATTTAGTAAAATCATGATTATTCATCATATTTTGTCACACTTTACCTATTTTCTTAATGATATCATATATAAATATAATATTTCACTTCAGTGTACCATAAGCCGATTGAAAAATCCAGGATTCTAAAAAATTAACCAAAACTACTAAGTTTTTAATTTTATTCTTTTTTACTATTATAACGATACCACATATTATTATAATTAATATTATTTATTTTGCATAGTATAAGAAATAACCTAATCATGGATATTTAAATATATGTACGACAATTTATTGATTACGGGAAATTGGAATGTGGTTAGTAAAAGCGGTTTGCATCATTGGCATTGTCAAAGTAACCAAAAACTATATTATATATAGACTAATATCACACGATAATAGTAAGAGATATATTATCGGATCCAAAGATGTGAAGCATAGATGACAAAAGCGCAACAGAACGAAGTATTTGATATTTGAATTAATATAAAAAAATAAATAAAAATTCAATATATTTAAATATTAAACAGAGATGCTCCTAATCTAAAGCTATATAGAAAATCAAAGGATATAACGATTTCGGATATATAATTTATGGAAACAACAATAACATAACCAAAGCAGTCATGTCCTGGAAACTGACAAAGAAGAGATTACGAGGACTTACGATGAGTGGCTGGAATGAGTGAATAATTAGAGAATAATAATTCGGGTTTAATAGAAGTGGTGATATTAATTCTTATTGAGTAGTAGAAAAATAAATATATACCTATAAAAATGTGTTTTATTTTATCCATCTATTCAGTTATTCACCATCATTTTTTCTTGGTCCTGTATCCCGTTGCAGACGGATAATCTATGAGAATATACTGTGCGGTGATCAAAACCTGATTATATTTAATATCATTGATTATAAATGCTTATAAATATTATAAATAATAATAATATATATATATATAAAAGTATTTATAATCAATGGTAATATTTATACAATTGTAGGTAGTTGTTTGTTATCGCCCCGCCGGTACATCGTATAAAATGTATTTCTCCACCACTCTTGTTTGTTATCACTTCGCCATATAGTTATTAATATTACGTTGTTCCTACAAATATTGTGTTTAAGGCTGGGACCACATAAGCGTGCATCGTACGCGCGTTTTAACGTGCGTATATTTTGACACACGTATTAAGCGCGATTCACACTGGTACGACACGACACGACACGGCATGGCACGGCCAGACACGACAATAATGTGTCAAATACACATATGACCGACATCGGCCAAACGGCAACTAGTACTGTCACTACTGTACGACGCGCAATATAATATAAAGACTGTATCTATGTACTACGTCTATAATAATTATAATATCATTGTATAATATAATATAATAATAAATAAATCAAGCGTTCGACGAGTTTGTACGCAATTCACTCTGAAATTTCTCAACAAATTATTATATAGGTACTCAATTATTAATAATAAATATAAATAATAACATATGGGTAATAAAATAATAATTAGATAATAATTATGAGTACATAAAAATATGTATATTTCAACTAGATTCCGACAGTTACCGACAGAGCGACAAAACATTCTTTGCTCAAATGTCTTGTAGTGTCGTGTCGTGTCGTATGGTGACGTTACGGAGCTTGCCGGATCGGTGTGAATCACTGTATTCAATTATATTGATAGAATATTTTGTCGTATCGTACCAGTGTGAATCGCGCTTTAATCAGTTCACACGACCGTAGATTATTTTTGAAAAAATAGTTTCGTACAGATTTTTTGCAGTACAAAACGTAGGTGTAATGGATTCGAACGAAATTGTTACGTTCTCGTGTTTGGTGTACATGTACTTAAAAAACCAGCAGCAAAGAAAATAATTTTGAGTTCACCCTATAAACTTTGAACGTCAATCACGTAGTCATTATTTTTAATTGTATAAGCAACTTCGAAAAAGCAATGTTAAGTTTTTTAATTATTTTCGCATGTCGATAAGTTCATTTGATGAGTTATCGTACATATGAATATATATAAAATTATATAAAACGATAAGATACAAATATGGGAATTTTAATAGTAATGACAAAGCAATTTTAAACCAGGCTAATTTTTTTTTGTTTTTCTCTTTGTAATTTTCATTTGAAGTATCCCATGATAGTGGCCGTTTTTAAAATTCACTATCAATAATAACCAGTCGCGTAGCTAGAAATTTCTAAGGGGGGGGGATGTTATTCAAAATTAATTGACAAAATTATACTCACGAAATTGATTACTTTACGTATACTTAAATTTTTCACATATATATTATTATAATTAATACAAAAAAAAAAAAAAATTAATTAAATTAAATTAACTTAATGTGTCTATTCTTTAAAGCTAGAGTATTTATTATTTCGTCGGTGGTTACGACTAAATCCTCATGAATATTCATAACTGCTAAGCCGTTTAACCGATTTTCACCAGTTGTGTTCCTTAAACATGTTTTTAAACGCCGTAAAGGGGAAAACGATCTTTCACTGCTTGCAGTGGTTACTGGTAAAGTAATCAATATTTTTAAAAGTCGATGAACAGTAGGAAATATTTATTATTCTGTAATGCGGAAAGTACAACAGTCTACGAGTAGCAGACTACAAAGTTTTGTTTCAGAGTTTAAATATACATTTACATCCGATGGATACGTTTTATTTTGCGTACTATGTGGTAATTTTTTTTTTAATGCATATAAATACATATTAAGGTAGCCATATTAAGAAAATAAAAAACGGGACAGATGTTACCCCCCCCATACAAAAAAAAACCCTCATTCATGTATTCCACACATATGCACACAAATCTCGAGAGTCCAAATTTGTCATATTGCAAACAATTATTTTCTTTTTACTTTATCCTTTTTTAGTTAAATAACCTAAATAATAAAATATTTTCTTTTAATTATTCATCAAACAACACAATGTAACATTTCAAAACTATTATAATTTCTTACACAATTAAAAAAATTTAATTTTTAATATAACAATTAAAATATTAAACAGTGTATTGTTACATAAAATGACTCTTATATTTTTTTAATAAGAATTAGGAAAATTATACACTCTTATAGCAATCTTCATTATTTATGAATTTTGTAAGCCTTCTTCTACAAATTTCACTGTTTTCTTGTACTTTTCGGAAAAACTTATTGAATTAAACAATTTCGGATGTTTCAAAAGAAATTCAAAAAATTGTGAACAAGTTAAGTTTTTAAAGTGTTGTTTGGTAATTATTATCGATCTAAGAGTTTTGATATTAAAATACATGATATAATAAATAATATCGAAATAACGGGATTAAAACGGGACAATCTTCTAAAAACAGGAAAAAAGCGTCTCATTCGAATTTTGTGGGGACAACGGGACGTGATGATCAAAAAAGGGACGATCTCGTTTTAAACGGGACGTTTGATCACCCTATTGCATATTATAATGCATATTTTAATGATTTTAGAAGCATATTTGGATGCATATTTGTGTTTTTTTAGAGCTATAAGTCTCTAAGCCTAATAATTACTAATTAATACTGGGTCCCGGCTTTAGTGCTTTACATTATTGTTATCGTAATATATATTTAATTTTGATAAATAAGTGTAAATCACGGCTTATGATGCATCTTTATCTTGATAAAACATATTATGTATACCACGGCTGAGGGGGGAGGGTGTTACTACACCTGTAACACTCCCCCTGGCTACGTACCTGATATTAACCATATTTTATGGAAAATTTATTATAATTTTTGAATTTAAATTTTCCACAAACTACACTCAACACAATGTTATTATACGTCCGTATTATATATAATTGTGCATCCGTATGCAAGGGCGTCCGCAGGAAGGAGTATGTAGGGACATTTTCCCTCCCTTGGCTTTTTCATGGCCTAATTGTCATAACTGTTATGTAGTATAAAATATCACAAAATAAATATTTTTTTAAATTAAAAACAGTTTTTGGTACATTGAGTGCCACGATCAATATTTAGTCGACAAATGTTATGTGGTTCTTTATAGGTGTATACATATTTTTTTCACTGCTGCGCCCTCTTAATTCATCGGTTTTCGATGCACTGTTTCGAATTTTATATGTTAATATTTAAAAATGGTAAATACCAAATAGTTTGGTAATTGGTAATTCTTTATTTATTTTATAGAAGCTAGAAACAATTAACTTTATAAATAACCTAAAATTATCAAATCAATGGTTTTATTTTATTTATATACAAAAAAAAATGGATTTGTTGATTTAAAGTTGCACATTAATTAATTAAAATTAATACTGTAAGATCGTAATAGCGTAAGTTCTAATGTTCTAAGAATACACATAATTAAAAATTTAATTTTTTACCTTTCCTGCTTATATGATAGAAACACGTTAAAAACAAAAAGGTATTTTATCACTAATTGGATAATGAATCAAAAATTAAAAATTTAAATACCTTGCCCCCCCCCCCTTGAAAAATTCCTGCGGGTGTCTTATCCGTATGGCCATTCAAGTACAAAACACCATTTTTTTACAACGTGCGTATAGGTATATGTTTCGACGAGCGTTGTAGCATAATACGTAGATACGAAAATCAACGCCCATTCATACTAATGTACGTTTTGACACATGTCGTTAGTGTGGCCCAATCTATAAACATCAATATAAAATAATTAAAGTAATTTTTAGTAAATAAAAAAAAAAAATTTTAAAAAAAAATAAATAAATAAAAATTAGTAATTCTACAACAGACGTCAAAATTAACGTGCGTTACGACGTACATTATACGCTCGTGTGGTCCCAATCTAACTCATAATAGGTTTATAATCGAGAAGTGATGGGGTTCTGTAATGTGGGGAAATAAAAAGCGTCATGGATTAAAAGAAATTTTTTAAAATCATATTTGGCAGAATTAATACGGAGAACACATCTCGGGGAGTAAGATTTATTTTGTTGTGAATTTGGAAAAAATAAACATTTTCTGCAGGTGCTTGGTGGTGATAAGGAAGTAAGATTAAGTTAGGTTTATGATTAAAATATTTTAATCACAAATTAAACCGTTTAACTTCTATTTAATATTGTGATACCACAAAAAAAAGTATTACACAATCGACTATTGCGAAATCGTATTAGCAAGGTTATTGATGTTTTAAAGTTGAACGGAACGTTACTAAACGTTCCATATTAGCTTGTTTTTATTGTTATCAATTATAATACGAATAATGTTCATATTTCATATCAATCAGCCGTTTCGCGTGTTCAAGATTAACCATTTTTTTTCCTACGTAGAATTTGTAAAATTAAATTTTGAGGGGAGGTTACAACCCCCAAAATCCACCCATAGTTGCACCACTGTTCAAGTCAGCTTAGATTTTATAAAATGAGGACTAGACACATACTCGGTAAAAATGGGAATAAGATCTTTAATGGGTTATTACAACCTCCTAGTCGGCCTTGCGCACGGGCCTGTAATATTGTAAACATGTTGTAACTTTTCAGCGAATGGCGAACCGAACATCCGATAAGTGGGTGGGGGGGGGTTGTTTATAATGTTTTTATTTTAATTTTATTTTATGATACAAGAAAATACACTACGTAAATATAACATGGCACAATACGTGTACGTGAAGAGAGTAATGCAGCAGGTGGATTACGCAATTTAGAAGTCGGCCAATAGTAACACTTAGTTCGAAAAGGTATGAAAATAATGAGAGAATCAAAATCAAAACTGTGAACAGCTTCAACGAGCGACAGCGACCTGACCGATGACCAATGACATTTACGTACGTGTGTACAAGCTTCGGAAGATCCGGTGACGCGGGAATCGACACGCGCATTGACGCGGCATAACGTGGTTTGACCGCGGTGGGAAAACAACACGCGTCGCCGCGGGACGGGCACGAAGCGCGCGGAAAAACCGAACGGGACGTGACACGGAAAACTGCCGGCACAACGACTGCGGTCGACTAGTGTTACTGATATCGCCGCGGGACGGGTTCTGCGTTCGGCAGAATCAGTGGCCGAGATAACGTCGAGCCGGGCGGAAGGTCGGCGCGGCGTTCTGGCGATGCGAAGTGCTGACGGTACTGTCGGACGTTCGAACGCGACGAAAACCCGTAGGCGTATCACTCGAAGTGGCCGCGCGGTCAGTAATTGCGCACCCGGCGTGCCGCCACTCGACGTGTTCTCTTCTTTTTAACGTGCGCGCGCCACCGTCCTAAAAACGCCAGTGTTATGGCATCTTCACACCGTACGATATTGGTTTTTTTTTCCTTCACTGGAACGTTTTAAATTCCGCTCACTTTTAATTTATTATCGCGTTTGGAGTTTCCGTTTGGCGTCAACCTTGGAACCGCATTCGTGATCGTAGTACATGTTCATACCACAAGTACACCACCAATACGAACGCGAACGCATAATACTCTATTCAGATGCGTGCAGAATATCCGTTTTCCAATCGGAGTAGTTGAAAATCGAATCATTGACCTTTTTTAAACTTCTCGCCTTATTCTTACCCGTTATGTAGCTACCAGTTGTAAAATATGTTTAGATACCTACGCGCTGTTTTTATTTATATTTATTGGTTAAATTGTGATTTTATAATTAATTACTTGGCATAATATGTATTACCTAATTATATTTGTCCGCTTTGAAATCGATAGAATACAAATCGGCTGCATCCGAGTTGCGGTCAGAGACGATTTTTGAGATAAGGACACATAACAGTTGCGGTCAGGCGAATTGTAGGTAATATCCTAATTGCTATCATATACCTATTACTTATCTGTAAAATTTGTAAATAAAATAAACAAAATTGTATAGCCTAATAGTAAAGTGGCGTACATATAACTTTTGTATGGGGGGGATCAATTGCAAACAAATTGTTGTTGAAGGAAAATTCCTAAACCAAAGTACTTGCATATTTAAATAATAAATTATAATATATATATATATATATTGAATATATCAAAATAATAATTTACAATAAATCCTTGAAATATTTTTTTGTTTCCTTATAATTTCCTTACATTAAGAACACTATTTTATACAATTTTTAAAAGACCTATGGGTGGATTTGATCCCCACATCATCCCTTGTATACGCCCCTGGAATAGTTGTATAATCACGAACTAGATGATCACCAATCAATGGTACGGCAAAAGGTTAATTACAGTGTTAAACGTAAAGCAGTGGAGCAGTTGAGCGAGCGTCCCTCCAAAATTTTTCATTCTGAGATGTCAAGTACAGTACTCAGTGTACTGGGGTCAAATGGCGTTAAATTGAATAGAAAAAATATACACACTGCAAGAATGAATGATTATTACTAACCCGAAGTTGCCGCGTAACTTTTCACAATTAAATTTGACGCTTCCTAACGTAATTAATAAAATGCAAACCAAAAAATTATTAAAATTGTATTTTTATAAACGATGTTCAGAAAAATATAATATGTCTTACAAATCAGATAAACCTTAATTTTTAAAAACAATGTGATTCAATTTTTATGGATGGTAATTTTTCAAGTTGCCATTTTCCTTTTAAACAATTTTTTGTGATACATGGATATAAAAACAAAAGCAGCTCATATGTACCTTTGTTTTTTTTGTGATTGTCTAGTTAATTGCCTTGTAATACGTACAAGACTGTATTAGATCACCTCAAAGGTTGTTTGTTTGACTATATCCCAAATAGAGTCTTCAGTGATTTCAAACCTACACAATAAAAATAGTGTAGGCAGTCCTAAGTCTGTTTATAAAATGGAAAGGAAAATGTTGAAACTTTTTTATAAATAAAATAGCATAGTATATACCAAATATACTAGATATATATTTTGAGTGACCGCAACTAGTACGTAATTTTTGATTTTGACCGCAACTAGTATACACCGTAGAAATCGCACTTCAATTGTTGCTTTTAATGGTTAATATTTCACGTTCTTTTATGGTTGATTTAAGTAAAATACTAATCCCACATCGATATCTTTATAAAAATGACTGTCAGGTAGGTGGCATTGATGGAAGTACACTTCGAGTGAGGTATTCGCATATTACTTTAGTAGTAGTGTGCAACCCGACGGTTTGGAGTGGTTTGACTTATTTATGCTACTCTAACTATTTGTAGAGATCCATCGTTGATAAAGATATTAAAATCAGTCGACTAAAATGTCGACTAAGGTCTATTTTTACACAGCAGTGACGTGACAGTGAAATGACGGTTCCGGGATTTCGTCGACTGTAATTTGTACTCATAGCATCATAGGCGCAAATAGGGGGGAGGGCTTAGGGGGTATTAGCACCCCCTATTTTACAATTAGCATCCTCAAATAATGTTCGTATTTATGAATCAAAAACTTATTTTTGTTATCAGACATTTGATTAATAGAGTATATAACTGTAATGAAATATAAATGAAAACAATGTTATTCGATAAACGTCAACTCACATTTTTTCGAGTTCACCGAAACCCTAATTTAAATTAATTTTAAAACCGGAACCCTATAGGAACTTTTATTTGTATTTATTTAAAAATTGGCTCATTAAATCCTTATAGTTTTAATATAAATTAAATACCCAATAAATACAGAGCTTAAGCACCTTAAATAATAATTTACAATAACCTAACCCTTAGCATTGTCCCACGGAACCCTAAGGTTCCGCGGAATACAGTTTGGGAAACACTGCTCTAGTCCACTGGCGGTTGCACGTATCGTCCGTCGCTTGGGTCGTTATCAAATTTCGTTATTATAATATAATAACGTATTATTTATTATTTATATGTTATTATTATTTAATAACATATTATGAATCCTCATTAAATTTTCTAGGATATCGATCGTAACAAATATCGCGTCACCAGTGAATCGTGTAGTGCGCGGAGGGCCTAACAGTTGAAAATGATGACGAAAAATTCAATTTTTATTTTGTTTTGGTAACCACGCACACACTTTGTGCATGTTTAATAATTAATATTACACGCGTTTTGTGTATTATTAATATTAAAACCGAATACCATGTATAGTTTATAGCTTTACATTGTTGAATATTAATATTATGACCCAACCCATGCCATGACACGAAGGTTGGATAAAAATCATAACACGTTTGAAACATTTTATTGCTTCAATCGTGCATAAGACAACGCATTGCTACTTCATACCAAAGATATGGATATTGGCGTCTGCAGTGTTTCGTGTACCAATAACATGTACCAATAATAATAATTATATAGTATTAATAACGTTTGGGACATTAGAAATTTATCATCATTGAAACGGACATGTCGCAAAATGAATAATCAACGTTTATGTTCAATGTTTCGTTTGTCTTGAACAATTCATTGGAATTTATTTTTACTTAGTGGGAGAGTCTTGCTAAGCATATGCAGGGGCGGATTTAAGGCACTGCGAACTATGCGGCCGCATAGGGCGGCAAAACTATGTTGAGTATTTATTTTGATTTTGTAAAATTAGGTAGGTACATAATTTTTAAAATGTTATCTATCACTTCAAAATCTTTAAATTGTGAATTTTGTATTCGTTTATTTTTAGCAAACTAATATTTATATTTTCCCAGGAACTCGTCTACGATAACGACGATTGTATTTTATTATAGCCTATCTTATTGTTTATGAAATGTCTCGTAATACTATAATAAAAATCTATAAAAAGAAAAAATCAATTCGCCATGACGAAACTTGAGATGGACAAGTAGAAATATTAGCGAAAGATAATTTTAGAATTAATACATTCTATATTATACTTGCTTATATTAGCTACTGAATTGAGTAACAGACGAAAAGCATATGAAACATTCTGCAAACCATTTGATTTCTTTACTAAACTTCATAAATTGGAAAACTCTGAAATAATAGTTAAAGCAAATGAGTTATGTTGAATTTACAAATCAGACTTAGAAAAGAATAAATTTATTAATGAACTACTACATTTTTGTTCTCATCAAATTACAAGATTTAATGAAAAGAAAATTACACCATTATTACTATTGCTTGCAGTGGCGGAGCTACATATAGATAAAGGTGTGATTTCACACGGTCCTCGGCATTAGAGGGGCCTCAAACGATTTAACTTAGAAAATTATAAACATTAAAATTTAAAAAATTTAACTAAAAACCTCATAAAAGTTTATTTTTTGTTTTTAGCTTTCTATTTATTTTTGTAAGTAAACCATTGCATAATTAGTTATGGCGGTTCAGAATAATAATAATCTAGCAAGATCAATTAATTATTAGATCTTAGTATAGTATGAAGATAGATAGGTTTTTATGCATTTATTCGTTTTAAATAAAATATCCTAGAAAAAAAGGAATTATAACTATACTAATGCAGAATAATAATTTTATCACATAAATAAATTATCGGTTGTAACTTGTATCCCACTGACGTTTAATTCGGCAGAATCTTTTAGAACATTATTTGCTTTTGAGCTTGAAACATTATCCAATGTTTTTGATACAACTAAATTGTTAGTCATTGAAAATAATAATCTTATGACAAACTTCCCGAAATTACTAAAGGTATTTTATTAATTTCTCACTTTACCAGCAACTGTAGTCAGTGCTAAGAAATCGTTTTCAAAGTTGAAGTTAATAAAAAGCTACCTCAGAAACACTATGTCTCAAACACGTCTAAGTGGTTTGGCCATGATATCTATTGAAAACGAACGTGCAAAAGAATCAAATATGTCGGCATTGATCAATACTTTTGCATTAAACCAAAGCCGAAAATAAATATTCACAACTTAATTTCAATATTTACCTATTTATAAATATATTATTAATAATAATATATATGTATATGTATATATGTATTAAAGAATAAAGATGTTACGTAAGAAAAACAAAATTCTTAATTTTTTTCTTAAATTCTGGCTTAAAAATTCGCCACGAAAATTTTTTACACAGGCCTCCAAGAATCCTGTTCCGCCACTGATTGCTTGTAATTTATGAACGTAATATGAAGGATCTATATCCAAATATTGAAATTGCCCTTCGAATATTTGAATCAACACCAGCTACTAATTGCACTGCCGAACAAGGGCGTACCAAAGGGGGGATATTTCGGGTCCCCCCATTTAAATTTCTACATACTCAACGATTTAATAGTAAATAGTATAGTAATAGTATATAGTGTATTTTAATTTCTCATTATCAGATAAAATAAAAATTTTGGACCCCCTCCCCATAAAAAATTCCTGGGTACGCTCCTGCAGCCGAACGTTCGTTTTCGATGTTAAAAAGAATGAAAAATTATTTACGATCAACTACGTCGCAAGAAAGATTACACTCCTTTGTCATGTTACCTATAAAAAGTGATTTAACGTCATCATTAGCGTATGAAGACATTATTCATGACTTCTCAATAATTAAATCTAGAAAAAAAACCTATGTAAACTGCTAATATGAACTATGAATTAAAAATTTAAATAAAGTAACAATAATTTCACTGTCACATAATGCTATTACTTAGGATTTAGCTTTTCCAAAAGTATTCAAATCTTTCCATGATGTAATTTCTTACA